CGGACCACGCGCTCCCATTGGCCCGCCGGGGCCCGCGGCCGGCGATTGGGCCGCTCGGCGCCTCGCGAGCCCCACCTCCCGGGCCGAATGCCGAGGCGGATTGGCTATATGTGCGTGACGTCAGGCCCCCCTTTTTTGGGCTCCATTTTGTGCGCGGAACAATTTGGCGCGAAACTTAGGCCGAGAGGAAGCTGAGAGCGGCGGCCTGAGGAAGCAAAGATGGCGGAAGGCGTGCTGGCATGGGCTTTCCAGGCTTCCGAGCAATGACTCCATCCTCAGCCCCGGGAACAAAAGGCCACCAGCCAGAGCGCCTGGCGCGGGGCACGGGGCCTATCACCCCAGCACTGGGAGGGAGGCTGAGGCAGGAGGATTGCAAGTTTGAGGCCAGCCCGGGCAGCTCAGTAACTTAGTCTCAAAATGAAAAATAAAAAAGGGCTGTGGATAGAGCTCAGTGTGAAGGCCCTGAGTTCGTCCCCAGGAGAGCAAATTAATTTTTCGCAACGCTGAAAGGGGGAAGACCGCCGAGAGGGGAGACCGCGTCGGTGTGGTCTGCAGCAGACTGGCGGAGAGGACGCCTGTCCCCTCTGCCACCCACAGGCGCGCAGAGAACGTCGGTGTGCCTGTGTGTGGCGCGGCCCCGGGAGGTCACAGGCAGTTCCCTCGCTCCCGGGCCCTCCCTCCCCGTGGACGGCCGTGGACACAGCCCCTCTTCCCGCTGCAGCTGAGCCCACGCAGGAGGCAAGGGACGGACCTCCTGATCAACCCCAGCAAGGGCCCCTGAGCCCTCCAGTGACAGCCCCAGGAAGGTGCTGACAAGGTTGGGCGTCCCAGCGTGGCTGAGCCTCTGCACTGCTGCCTGAGCTGACGCTGATCCGCTCCTCCCTCGGCTCCCTTCAAGATGCCCACTTGGGGCAGGATGCGGCTGAGTGGTTGAGTCCTTGCCTAGCAGGCTGGAGGCCCTGGCACCCACCCCACTACCACAAGAAACAGGAGAAACTTCCCCTCAGGCTTCGGTGGCCCACACCTGTGATCCCAGCACTCTGGGAGTCTGAGGAGGGGGATCACAGATTCAAGCCCAGCCTGGGCGGCCTAGCCAACTGGTGAGTCCCTGCCTCGACAGATCAGAACGGGTTGGAGAAGCAGCTCAGTGTGAGGCTCTGGGTTCAGTCCCTGGTCCCACACTAAATAAGCAGCCCCATTTGCCTTCGGACTCTTCCCTGCCACAAATTACTGCAGTTCTAAAAACCTGGCCTCAGCCAGGAGTGGCAGCCAACACCTGTAATCCCAGCACTCTGAAGAGCTGAAGCAGGATGACTGCAAGTGCCGCCCAGCAATTCAGCCGGACCCTGTGGCAGAGTAGAGACGGCGGGGGCGTGACCTGTGTGAAGGCCCTGGGCACCCGTGGTGCCTGCATCCTGCACAGACACAGCCGGCTGCACCCTCGACCCTCCCGGGCACCCTCGCAAACCTGATTCTTGGCTGCATCTGCAGAGTACCCCGGGGTTCCCCCTTGCTCCCCCAGCCCGTGTGGCTCCACTGCGCCTCCCGCAGCCTTGTTCCAGACCCTGGGGCGCAGCGGCAGGAGGGGGCGGGGGCAGGGTCTCACGGCAGCCTGCCCTGGCTCTGCCTGGCACGGGGAGGTCTGTGTATTTTGATGCCACTCGCGGATCTAGGCAGTGGAACAGCCGGGGATTTAGAGCTGGGTGGACTGGGTCAAAAGCCTCAGAGAGGGATCGGCCAGTGTGACAGCAGGCACAGCAGTGTCGGCTGAGGTGGCTCGTGCCTGGAACGTGTTGACACTGCATTTGCTTCTCAGCGGACAGGGCCAAGGGAGGTGTCCTGTGCAGGACCGGAACTAGGGGATCTCCCCAGACCCCAAGTCACCATTCAGAATGCTTCCATCTCCCCCAGAATCGGCTGTCGGCCTGGAGGGGAGCCCTCGCCTCAGGAAGGTGGGCTTACGTCTATCTGCGCAGCAGTTTGTCCAGCAGCTGACCCACACTCAGCTGCTGGGGTCCCAAAGAGCCCCTGCCAACCCTATGACATACACGCACACCCAGAGAACAGAGGAGAAGGCTAGCCCCAAGGAGACGAGCCTGTGAAAACACTCTAGGCCACCATTGCACATGCCTTTTATTGTTCACACAGAAGTGTGACAAGGCCACGGTGTGGTGAACCCCCACCCCACCCTCAAAGACCCCAGCCCTGTTATAAAACAACGAACACGACAAAGTCCCCAGTTCAGGCTGAACCGGGATCGAGGAGTGGCTCTCACAGGAACAAGACGGAAACACAAGACACAACTCTGACGTCAAAATGTCCATGGCCTCGGGGGCGCAGTCACTGTGAACGGGAGGCTCAGGTCGAGGCCCCGCCGGACTGGTGCTGACTCGGGAGGTCCGGGGCCACTGGATGTGCTGTCCGTGGGGAGAGGCCATGGTGCCTTCTGCTCCGAGGAGGGACATGTGGAGGAGCACAGGCCTGAGAGCCCCTGTGCTGAGCCAGGCCCGGCGGGGCAGACGGAGCATCCCCAGGTGGAGTCCAGGCCCCAGGACCAGCGCCCTGGCATTCACAAGGCATAGAGTCTCACGGCCACTGTGGCCACCAGGAAGGTGAGAAGGGTCAGCACCCACGGCAGCAGGGGCGCAGGGGAGTGGCTAGGGAGTGGGGCCTTGCCTCGGGGTGCCCCTGCCGGGCTGGGGTCTGCAAGAGCAAGAGAAGGTGGAGTCAGCAGGGCAGGTGGAGGCTGCATGCCCATGGCCCTGCATCTGACCCAGTCCCTGCTTGCCCGAGGATTCCTCAGCAGGGTCCCATGAGCCAAAAGCTGGGGCAAACTGAGGCACAGGGGCGTTTCTTGGTGCCCAGGGCCACCCATGGAAGGTTGGCCCCACTTCCCAGTTAGTTTTTTGTTTTATTTTCTGAGACAGGGTCTTGCTATGTAGTCCAGGCTGGCCTTGAACGCACTATATGACCCAGGCTATCCTCAGTCTCGGGGTCATCCTCCTGCCTCAGCCTCCTGAGTGCTGGGTTACAGGCATGGGCCACCATGCCCAGCCCTCTTCTCATTTAGAAGCACTTAGTCAAGACAGAGTGGGTTACCCCCCAGCCCATGCCCCAAGCCCTCACCTTGCTCCCGGCCGCTGGCCCGGTGATGGAGCCCTGGTGTCTGGGGAGGACTCTGGTTCTGGGACTCTGGGGTCAGCAGCCCCTGCAGCTCCTCAAACAGCTGGAAGACAAGAGCACAGGTGTCCCATGATGTGGAGGCCTGGGAGCAGGGCTGGGCATGACTATGGAAGGCTCTGGAAACAACCCCCACCATGAGGAAGTGCTCAGCCCAATGGCCAGCCAGCCGGGCGAGGTGGCTCAGGGAGCGGCCGCCTGTTCTGCCCAGCACACCAGGGCAGCACTGAACCTGCGCGGCACCCACGCCTCAGGCACATCCCCGGCCAGGCCAAGGGGCAGCCATGGGCTGGCCTCCATGTGTCCACCCGGAGCAGGCTGTGGCTGTCACGCTCCGTGGTGACCACAGCACAGCACTTCCCCAGGACTCCATGGGGGTCCACTGCACACCACACAACGCTGAGGCACAGTGCCGCTGCCGTTCCTGTTGTGCAGATGGGGGACTGAGGAACAGGCATCTCACCTGGATGTTGAGCAGGAAGGCAGCCTTGGCCTCATCTAGCACCCTGCGCCGCACCTCCGGCGTCATCTCCAGGGAGTTCATGCGGGCGCGGTACAGCTGCTTGAACGTGGTGGCATTGGGGACGCCGGGGAAGGTGAAGAAGGCCAGGCCCTCACCGGAGCCAGGCAGGCCCAGGGCCTTCTGGGCAATCTTCTTGAGGACCTGGCCGCCAGACAGGTCGCCCAGGTAGCGAGTGTAGGCATGGGCTACCAGCAGCTCGGGCTCTGCGTGCCCCACCTCATGGAGCCGCTGCACGTAGCAGCTTGTGGCGGGCGAGCAGGGGATGGCCAGGCGCCAGCGCGGCCCGTACCAGAAGGCCATGTCCTGCTCCAGCGCCGCACGCCGGTGCAGCTCCTCGGGGAAGTAGACAGGTGCGAAGGCCGGGCTATCCCTGATGCGCTCGATCTCCTCCTCCAGCGCTGTGTAGATGTGGTACAGCGAGGCCATCACCAGCTGCAGGGACAGGTCAGATGCCACTCTGTCATGGCCACCAGCAACCCACCTGGCCCCCAGGACTCCCAGCACAGTAGCGGGATTTTAGAGGAAAAGTCGGTCCTGCACTTTCTCAGCCTAATACAGGCCTCATTTGTTCCTGCAAAAACCAGCTCGGGGGTTTCTAGTCCCACTTCTCAGAAAGGGAACTCCAGGCTCTGAGAGGCGGCACAGTGGGGAGGAGCCCTGCAGCTTTGGGGCTGCAGGGCATGGAGCTGCCCGGCTCCCACCTGCCAGCTCAGGGACACCTGTGACACATTAACCCTGCAGCCTGTGTACAGGACAAAGTCACACATTCCAGGCTTGTGCATCCCAGGTTATTCTGACTCAGCCACTCATGGAAGGAACATGCCTTGAGGGCAGACAGCTGGGAGCTGACACAGAGACAGAGCACAGGACTCTCGGGAAGGGCAGTACCACCTTCCGCTGTGTGGCTGTGGGCAAGTCACTGCCATCTCTGGTCTCAGTGGTCAGCCCTTGAGTCAGCCCTTGCTGCTGCCCCTGTGGAGGGGCAGACAGACTCTCTGTCTGGGGCTGGCACAGGTCCAAGGGGGAGACTTGTGGCCAGCTCAGGACTCGGCCAGCGAGGCACTCCCACTGGAGGGGCTGGCACCTGTGGCCCCAGCTCTGGGTTCTGGCTTTGGATTCAGAGGGCAGTAGAAACCCCCTGCCCATGGCCTGGCCGCCTCAGGGCCTCAGGGCCTCAGCACAGATGCCAGCAGCAGGGTGAGGGCCAAGGTGGGGGTGGCAGGAGGACCCAGGCCCTTCACCCAGTGGTGTCCTGACGCCAGCATTGCCAGGCTTAGATGTGCAGCTGTCCAGAGTGAGTTCACAACTGTACCCAGGACAGCAGAATCAGTGCCCAGTGCCCAGCCATCGACAGTGGAGGGGAAAGTGCGGGCAGAAGTCCCTGCCACGCTGCCTGCCGCAGGAGCCCTGCTGGCCACACCACGCTGCCCTCAAGGCCACTTGGACCAGGGCCCACCTTGCTTGAGTCTGTCCTCTCCCTGGTGCAGCCCTGTGATGTCTGAGCCCCTCTGAGCCTTCCTGTCCCAGAGTAGAGGCCTTGCCTTGCTGTGTGGCCTGTCCTCGCACCATGCACGGTACCCACCTTGAAGCCCTCTCGGGTCACCTGGCCCTTCTGAAAGTTCCGCATGAACTCAGTGTTCTCCGCCTGGGTGTGCACCTCCTTGGTGGCCTCCTTGATGGCCTCGGACAGGTCCTGGGACGCCCTGTGTGGAGGGGCCAGGTCAGTGGGGGCGACAGGACAGGGGCGCAGTGCCCACATGCTCACCACAGTATAGGGTCTCTAAGGCTGGGCAGGGCAGTGGGAGACACAGGGGTCAGGTCCTGGGTTCCACACCTAGCTCTGCAAAATCAGCACCCGCAAACAGTGTCCCTGTCCCCAGACTTCCCAGGGAAGAGAGGGAGGGCCAGGGAGGAGGGGCCGTGCCCTAGGGACCCTCAACTGGTGCTGAATCGCTTTCCACCTGGGCATGGAACCCAGGGCCTCTGCCTGAGCTGCATCCCCAGCCCTTTCATTTTTTTTGAGACAGGATCTCACTAAGTTGCCCTCACTAGAGTCAAACTTGCCATTGTCCTGCCTCAGCCTTTCTCAGTGCTGGGATGACAAGTGTGTACCACTACATCCAGCTTTGGTTTGGTTTTTACACCCAATGTTTAACTCATTTCTTTCCATGAAGTTTCAAATACAAATCTCACGACTCCACTGCTATGCTTGTCGTCACAGGGTTTCCACTAAAAAGCCCGAAAAAGTCTGCTTCACTGGGAGAAGGAAGAATCGCTTTCTGGGAGCATTTCCACTGGGCGTCTGGATCCCACCCCAGCCCTGGGTCCCTCCCGCCTCTCCTGGGGCCCTTCCAGGACGATGGCCCTCTCGGGAGAAGGGAAGCATCCAGGTTCGGAGTGGGCACTGACAGCTGCCAGCCAGCAGCCCTAGGCACAGTGGGACCTGTGTCTGAGAAAAGGGATGCCACAGCCAAGGGGACATCTGCTCAGGGATCTGGTGGGTAGTGAGCTGCAGCAGCCACAGAGAGCCAAGACCGACCCAGGCTGGGAGGCCCGGGGCATCCGGGGAGGCGTGGAGCTGGTCCTGAAGTTGCCAGGGGACAGACACTCCCACCTGGTCACCAGAGCTACGTGCTGAAGGGACACCTCTCCTGCCTCCAGCTGCCTGCGCACACAGCTGTCCCGTCCCTGTCCCCACCGGGTCCCTGTCCCGTTCCCATCCCGCCTGAGCTTGCCTGCTGGGCTGCGTGCGTTCTGTCTGCGTCTCTGTCTCCATTGGTGGCTCTGGCACTCGGCACCTCTGCGCGCTGGAGGAGGCAGCTGTGGAGTTGGTGTCTGGGCTTGGTGCGGCCGCCTTTTAAACCCGGCAGGTCACGTGGCGCCGGCCCCCGGGGAGGCCCACGTCCTGCCGACGTTGCGACACTGGGCCCGCCCCAGCCAGCGGCGAGGGGAGAGAGGAGGTCATATGATCTGGAGCACCAGCCCGGCAGGAATCTCAGTCACCAGGCCAGGCGGGAGGGGTGCATCCTCAGCAACCTCAGGTTCCTAAGCGCTGATGACATGGGCCCTTCCCCCAGAGCCCGAGGAAGGAGCTGCACCCAGTGCCCCATACATGTACACGCGGGGCCGGCTTGGAGCCGCCATAAAGGCTGCAGACCCTCCCGGTCCATGGATCCCCACGTCTGTCCTGGGTCACACCCGCTGGCAGATGGAGAAACTGAGGCTGGGGAGGAAGTCCTTGCCTTCGTCCTGCATGTGCTTCTAGCACCTGGCTCCCAATTGGAGGCAGTAGTCGCTGCTGGAACACTGGATGCCGTCAGGGCAGGGCACAGCGCCTTCCTGCCCTTGCGCCACCCTGGACCAACCTTGCGGGACGGGAGGCAGAAACTCAGGGCTGGAGGAAGGCAGGGCCCCACAACGCCACAGTCCTCAGGCGCTCGGTGTGAGAGGGCGGTTTTCACAGCGATAGGGAGCTGCTTGGGAATGGAGGCACAAGGGCCGGCCCCGGGGAACAAAGGTTAAGGACACCTTGGAGCAGGGCCCTAGAGGGGACAGGGCCCCTTGCCACCCACACAAGCCTAGGGTCACATGCCTCCTCTAAGCTCGGGAGCAGCGCCCAGGGACTGAGCTCAGCACCCTGGGCACCGACCAGTGCACTCCAGGAGCCCGTGAGGCTGCACCGTTCCTGTCTCGACCTTTTGGGTAAGGAAACAGGTAGAGAGGCTCAGACGAAGGTCCGACCTCCGCGGCGCGGTGGAGAGATTTCAGCCTTCCTGGAGAGCAGGTGGCTGCCTGACCTCGCTTGGCTGCAGGGCTGATAAGGCCTGTCTGGAAGTACATTTCTGCCCAGGGTAGCAAGGAGAGCCGAGGTCGGGGCAACCCAAGGCTGGAGGGTGCCTGCAGGCAGCTGGTTAACAGGGCCTCCTGCTGTGGAGATGGCACGGAGAGGCGGCCGTGGGTGAGGACGAGGCTGCTGGCGAGGGTGGCTGCGGCCCTGGCCAGCTTTACTGCACACTGCTGAGGCCCGGCCCCCTGACCCCGGCCTTGGGCGGTGGGCGTCTCCTCCTCTCCATGTTTTCCACATCAGCATTGGGCACCGAGCGTTAAGGGACTTCCCTGCATCACATAGCTAAGGCTGGCAGAACCAGGGTTCCAGGCAAAGCCCTTGAAAGCCAGCCCCACCTCCTGTTCACCTGCCCAACCCCTCATAGGGGGTCCAGGAGCTGGGGGTGGGGGCTACAAGTCAGAGACCCCAGCGGGTGAGTACAGGGTCCTATTGGAGTCACATGTGCGTGGGTGTGCACACCCGCACGTGTGCTCTGGGGATCAAGCTCACGGCGCTCTTGACCTGGGTCCACCCAACGCTGGGCTGAAGGCCCCAAAGGCCCCAGGACCCAGGGACGGCCACACACATCACCCGTGTGGAAGGTGGAGCCAGCAGGAAGGGTTCATAGAGGAGGAACTGGACAGCTGCAAGGTCCGGGCCGAGCCCTGGAGGCAGGGGACCTGGCCTGGCCACAGTGCACACAGAGCGGACAAAGAGGCTGGGTCAGGTCGGAAACCTGGCTCCCAGGCCCAGTAGAGCTGCCCTCTCACCCACCCCGGCCAGGCAGGCGCCACCGTGACTCAGCAAAATCCAGCTCCCTCCTCCCCCACCAGCATGACTCAGCAGAAAGCAGCAGCTGCTAGGGTGGAAATCGCGACTCAGCACTGCGGCTGGAAAACGGAAGTGGTCTGGCTGTGGGAGGGGCCGGCTGTGCTCCCCGCCTGACTCCGGAGGAAAACAAAGAGGCCTCTTGGGGTAGAGGGCGTGCTGGGTAGGGTTGGGAGGTAGCTGCAGGGTAGTGCAGAGGGGTCCACCAGCCCACCCCACACCCTGAGAGGACCTGGATGGGCACGGGGAAGCCCGGAAAATGTCACCCTGAACGCCACTCCTGGGAGCAGCAGGCAGCAGGCCAAACCTCCTCCTCATCTGCCTGCCTCTTTGGAGAAGGCAGAGACCCCAGCTGACGCCCCACAGCCTCGGACCAAGGGCAGCTCAGGTCCTGGCCCCTGGCCCCTGGCTCAGCTGACCAGAGCAGACCACAGGTGCTCATCCTATGCAACGTGTGGAATAAATCACAAGAGAAAACTCTGTGGCCTTCACTTGGCCAAAGATTTCTCAAATACAACAGAACAGAAAAAAGAAAAGATAGACTACCAAAATTAAAATCTCTTGCTCTTCAAAAGATACTGTTCTGGAAAACAAGCAAGCCAGAGACTAGGAGAAAATATTACAAAACTTGTGTCCAACAGCTAGATGTAGTACTGCACAACAGTAGTCCCAGCGCTCTGAGGCAGGAGGATCACCAAGTTCAGGCCAGCCTGGACTACACAACCAGACCGTGTCTCAAAAAGAAAGCCCACTCCTAAACTGGGCATGGTGGCGCACACCTGTAATCCCAGCACTAGGGAGGCTGAGGCAGGAGGATCATCGTGAGTTCGAGACCAGCCTGAGCTACACAGTGAGCTCAAGGCCAGCCTGAACTGCATAGCGAGACCCTGTCTCAAAAAGACAAAAAGAGAAAAACTGTCCACTGATTGATTGACTGAATGACTGTAGTACTGGGGATTGACCTCAAGGCCCTCAAATTGAGCTACATCACAGTGGTTTTGCTTTTTTGTTTTTTGAGCCAGAGTCTTGCTGTGTAGCCAGGCTGGCCTTGAACTTTGCAATAATCCTCCTGCCTCAGCCTCCTGAGTGCTGGGATTACAGATGTGCCACCACGCCCTACTTTCTTTACTTTTGTTTGTTTTTTGGAGACAAAGTCTCAGGAAGTTGCCCAGGCAGGATTTGACCTTGTCCCGAGTGCTGCAGTTACGGGCGCGCACCACTGTGCTTGGCTTTGTCTTTTGTGTGTGATTTCTAGGCTTCCAGCCAGAGAGCAGGAGGTGGAAAGCAATGGCCATGTGGCAGTCCCTTGAGAGGCTAAACAAACACCCAGCATGGGGGCAAGATCCAGCACCTCCGCGTTTACCTACGGGAAGTAAATGCCAAGGTCCGCAGTGGACATGCGCAGGGCGTCCCAGGCTGTGTCTGTAAGTCCTGGAGGGAGACCCCCACATCCATCAGCAGGTGGGTGGGTGGATGCTTTGCATACAAATGGCTACAGAAGCTCAGTGCTAAGCACAGAGCGACTGACCCGTGGCACAGTGTCACACCCCATGTCTGGGAGATCATGCATGAAACGTCTCCAGTGTTGTCTAAAATTCCAGATAATGGAGCTGGGTGTGGTGGCCACACTTGTAACCCCAACACTCCGGAGGCAGAGGCAGGAGGATCGCCTTGAGTTTGAGGCCACCTTTGGCTACACAGCAAATCTGAGGTCAGCCTGGTTACATAGCGAGACCTTGTCTCAAAAAAAAAAAATTTAAATTGGGCGTAGTGGCATACGCCTGTAATCCCAGCACTTGGCAGGCTGAGGCATGAGGATTGTTACAAGTTCGAGGCCAGGCTTGGCTACAAAGTGAGCTCAAGGCCAGCCTGAACTGCGTAGTGAGACCCTGTCTCAAAAAGATAACAAACAAACAAATGAAAAATAATAATTTTAAAAAATTCTAGGCCGGGAATATAGCTCAACAGCACAAGTGCCTGCCTGGCAAGCACAAGGTCCTGAGTTCGATTCCTGGTACAAAACAAAATTCTAGCTAATGGGCTCCCAGTGGAAGGTGGGCCTCAAGGACTGGGGGGAACTCCGGGGAGTGCTGGGTCGGGCCTGGGGATGGGTTTTGTGGATTTCAAAGAGTGTGTGTCAAAGCCCAGCACACTGTGTACTTTACACCAAGTGTGTCATGGGCCACTTCTGCCTCCAGGGGGCTGTGAGGCAGACCCAGCCCGGGATCCCTTCACCTGTGGCCCTGAGCGGCTCCCACTGGGCCGTGAGGTCCTTGATGCGACGCCCCAGGCCCTGTGCAGTTAATTGAGCACTTGGGGTGCAGCCCTGCCAGGGTCCAGTGCTCCTTGACCCCAGGCCAGGTGTGCCCAGGGCTACTCATAGAGGGGACCACAGCCAGACAGGATCAGGCCTCAACTGGTCCTCAGCATGGAGCCTGACCACAGCCCTGAGTTCTGGGCCATTAGGGCCACCCGGACCGCCTGAGGGTCCCTAGCAGATGCAGGCTGCTGGAGGAGTGGCCAGAGGCAGGACAGCAGCAGCGGATCACAGCTTGTTAGGGCTCTTAGGTCCAGACACTGAGGTTCATCCGCTCCCCAGGACCAAGTCAGAGGATGCCACATATTTTGGAAAACAGGAAAAAGGATTTACCCAAAGCCAGTGCAAGGGCACATATCAAATTGACATCTCACCTGTACAAATTGTTGGGTCTGTCTCTTAACAAGAGACATGCCAGGCATGGTGGCGCACACCTGTAATCCCAGCATGCAGGAGGCTGAGGCAGGAGGATTGCTATGAGTTCAAGGCTATTTTTTGTTCGTTCTTTTTTTTTTTTTTTTTTGGTACCGGGAATCAAACTCAAGACCTCATGCTTGCCAGGCAGGCGCTGTGCTGCTGAGCTATATTCCCAGCCCTCAAGGCTAGCCTGGCTACATAGCGAGACTGAGACTGTCTTGAAAAAAAAAAAAAAAAAGAAGAAAGAAACAAAGGCCAGTGTGGAAGGGAAGAGAACTAAACCATAGGCATTTTCAGGCCACTTCCATCCTTCCTGGGCCCAGACCTTGGGTCTGGGCCTGCCGGTGCCAGCATCAGACATTCTGCCCATTCCTTGGGGGAGAGGGAAGGGGGCAGTTGCTTGTGCCCTTGCCTGAGGAAGTTTGGCAGCCACTTGACTCTTGAAAAAAACTGTCCAAGTTCCACCTTGCAATGCTGCTGCGGCCTGACCAGCTGTGTGCCCGGAACCCCACGCTTGTTTCCTCCTTTGACAAAAGGAGAATTAAAAACAGGATGGGCCGAGCGGCTCAGCGCAGGGACGCGCAGGCTGCCGTGGCTATGTTGGGCCACAGCTCCCAGTTCCCCTTCCAGACCCTGCCAGTTTCCTGTGTAGCCCTTTCAGGGGGCCTGGGGGTGGGGTCACCCTGACAGCCCATGACCCTGGAACCCTGCTCTCCACCGGGATTTGGGAATCTCAGGGTCCTTATCTTTACTGTTCACTAGAAAACAGTGAACTTCTGTTTGAAGTAATTGCAAACATCCAGGGAGGCTTTGAGGAAGTGCGTCTTCCCGAGACGCAGACCTACTCTTGCTGCTCTGCAGCGCTCTCTGGCTGAGCCAGGCCCCCAGCACAGCTCCCTAAAGTGGGAGTGGGGTGCTGGGCTGGGCAAGCTGTGCACTGTGGCCCGGGAACACGGGACACACGCACGTCAGCAGGCACTTCCCGAAGCCGGACGTCGCTGGTTAGACTGACTCAGCAGGTGGGGCAACAGTGACTCAGCAGGCGAGATAACCGTGACTCAGCAGGCGAGATAACCGTGACTCAGCAGGAAAGCAGAGACCTGCCGCGCAGGGCCCAGGGACCGGCAGGGGCTCTGTCCAGTCCATCCCGCACTCACCCCCTTGGTGGCTACAGGACACTATGGAGATTGGGAAGGTGCATTATGGGTCACAGGGGGTGGGGCACGAGGTCAGGGGGTCCTGGCGGGTGGTCCCCAGGCCCCGAGCACATACAGCCTCTGCAGGGCGGGAGTTGCTTGGCTGATACCACTGTGGCCTCAGCTGGATCCAACACACATGGCCATCTCTGCAGCCTTAATGTCCCCGTGGGGGGTGTAGCCCAGGGCAGGGGGGCCTGGGGTTCAGTCCCAGCACCACTGCACAAACGGAAACCCCGAAGACGCTTTCGCTTCTGCTTTATAACATTCTGTATTTATCATCATCCTGAACTTTGTTTTTTTTTTGAACTTTAGGTTTTAAAGTAACACATTTAAAAAATTTTTGAGACAGGCTCTTGCTATGTAGTTGAGGCTGTCCTTGAACTCACTATGTAGCCCAGCCTAGTCTCAAACTCATTAAGATCCTCCTGCCTCGGCCTCCCAAGTGCTGGGATTATAGGTATGTGCTACCACACTTGGCTAAAAATAACATTAAAAACCTACAGTTCTGGAAGGCATGGCCACTGCCCAACATTTAAATCTCTAAGCCCCAGACCAAGAGACAATTCTGCTAACATCTCAGGTGTTTCCCTGTCACAGCTGTGAACTGTCCCACAGGGAGCTGCACACAGCACAACTGCAAAGAGCAGTGAGTGCGCCGACGGCTCACGGGGTCATTCGGACTTCACTGTCGCCTCCCACGCAGGCTCTGAGGTGTACTCCGACCTCTTTCATACCCTTCTGTCCTTTGTTTAGAGCAAGTCTTTCCTCACGTTACTACACATTGATAGTTTTAAAAATTTTTTAATTTTTTTTTGTCTTTTTGAGACAGGGTCTTCCTATGCAGTTCAGGCTGGTCTCGAGCTCACTTCGTATTGAACTCACAACAATCCTCCTACAGGCGTGCACCGCCGCACGGTGCCTGGCTGCTCATAGTTGGGGCTTCAGAAGTGCTGCCGGGACCCGCGGAGAGTCGTTTCTCATCTCTGCGCAGAGCTTGTGCTTTTCTCTCATCCCAGCAATTTTCTGTGTTTTAGGATTTTGAGACGGGGTCTGTGTAGCCACAGCTGGCCATGAACTCATGGAGATCGTCCTGCTTCAGCATCCCAAGTGCTGGAATTAGAGTGTGCCACCATGCCTGGACCCAGTGCCACCTTTCTGTCTGTGCTATCTTTTGTTGGCATGGATTTGCTCTGAGCACAACTTCCCATGATCATCCTGCTTGTCACTTGCAACCAGCTATGCACTTGACAACCCTTTGCTCCCACTGCCAGGGGGCTGGACTACGCCCACCCATTACACGGTGACAGGGTCGTGGATGGCTGTGTCCTACTGCCAGGCTGGGGTGCAGCAGCTCACAGCCCTGGGCGTGCACACGTGGGGCCCTCGGCTCCATCCCCAGCACCATGGGAGAAAGTGCAGTGTCTGTGCTGCACGCTCAGCGCTGTGTCCGGTGTTCTGTGCTGCTCCATGAGTGACTGTGGATGGCTCCATGACTGCCGACCGACTAAGTGCCTAGCCCCGTGCCAGGGACCAGGTGGGCAACTGTGGGGCTGCACAGCTCCTGGGCACAAGCGGCCCTAGACCATGGAGCAGGCCCACCTCCTCCCAGCACTGTGGGGGGAACCGAGTCCTTTGGCCCAGCTACTTCCTCCTGCCTGCACTCTGAGCCCTGCTCAGGAGCTGCTGGGGTCTGCCAGACAGGCTGTGGCCTCCGTGGCTACGACACGCCCCTCCACCGGGGAGCACCTGGCCCTGGCCCGTGCGGGTGGTGGGGTGGTGGGCTGGGAAGGTGGACTCCAGCACAGGGTGGGGCTGGCACTGGGCCCCAGTGTTCCTGCCACAGGCCATTTCCTCTGCCACTGGAAGAGGGACCATAAGCTCGGCCGCCACAGTCCATGGAGGCCACAGTTGGCCAGGGCACTAGTGTGGCTGGGACCCTCCCCTGGCCAAGGGCAGTGCTGAGACCTGCGGTTCAGCACAGCTGGGGGCAGTGCGGGGCCTGGCCCTACAGTGGCCTGGTTGCAGCCGTGGGCTCGGCCTTGTGCCTCTCCTCCATGGAGCGTGGAGCAGGGCTGGTGTCAGTGTTAGCCAATGCTGCAACACAGGCGATGCTAATTTGCTCCCAGCTTTGGGTTACAAGGCCCGGAGTGCTCCCGCGGCCCCTCAGTCCTGTTCTGTCTTGGTAGAGGTTGAGCTTTCCCTGCATTTGGTTCTTTTCTGGAGAGGAGGGTGTGGAGGTTGAGGACAGGGTGACCAGGACAGCAGAGCTGAAGGGCTGAGGAGACTGAGGTTCAGGATGGGAAAGGGTGTGGCCTGAAACAGTGGGTATCCAGCCGGTGCACTGGGCATCACGGCCTCACGGCGGCTGGACGCTGCCCTGAGGGCCGTGGACCCTCGAGCCGTGGGGCTCCTGTCCTTGCACATGTTCTGTGTAAATGTATTCTTCTGGTGCTTGGGGCAGGGAGATCTGTCGGATCACCCCGAGCCGTGGCAGCTGTGGCGACCTCTCCCCCACCTTCTGTCTCTCCCAGCCACAACCTGGGCAGAGCATGGGTGCTGACCGCAAGCCGCGTCCCCAGGCTGGGCCGGAGCCCGACCTCTCCAGATGCTGGTTGAAACCGGGGTTACAGGACACACAGTGGGGAGTCTCCCTCGTGGGCCAGGCCCATCTGGGCCTCATACACCAGCACCCAGGCCAGGGGTTACCGTGTGGCATTGGCAGGTGTGGACCTCACTTCCTGTCCCCATGGGGTGCCAAGCAGGGGCGATGATGGGAGGAGCCTGGAGGGGCGAGGAGCAGCTCAGGATCCAGCTGTGTCTGCAGGTGCTCTCCCGAGGAACGTGCGTCCCTCGGCTCACTGAGCCCACCCCCTAACCAGCTCGGGACTCAGAGATGCCCGCAGCTCGAAGCTGGAACGGCAGAGCCTGGAGGCAACAGGGCTGCAAGCCGTGGAAACACGCTCGCCTCGGCCTCGGCGCGCTGGCGCCACCTCATGGTAGCTGGGACAGACGTGCTGGGGCAGTAGGTGCCCGAGGGAGGCCCGGCAGAAGGCTGCTCACTCACAAGGATGCGGGAAGGTGAGGCCAGAAATGGCCCACTTCACACACGGGGAAACTGAGGCACACAGAGCTTGGGTAACCAGCCTGGGACACAGTACCGAGCCGCAGTCATTACAGCTGGGGCGATCTGGGCCCTCCAGAGCCCAGCCTCACCTCCTCTCGTCCCCACCTGGCCAGGTAGAGCAGCAGTCCCCCGAGCTCTAGGGAACTCACGCCTGCTCTTCGGGATGCAGGGCGTGGCCAGCCCAGCTGCCAGCCTGTTTCCCAGTGTCAAACAAAAGCTGGTGGGAGGTGCAATGTGGGGGGGAGGGGCAGGGCGGGGCCTGAGGCAGGGTGGGCAGCTCCCCCCACTGACGTGGCCACGCTGGGGCCCCACGTCCTCAGTCCGCAAGTGCCTGCAGCCCAGGCCTCTCCTGGTGGGCTGGGCAGGCCTCCCCTTCATAGCCTGCAGGCCGTTCACCTCCCCCTGCCTAAGCCTCCAGAGCTTGGGGCACAGCTGACCCAGAAAGCTGGTACCCCAAGACCGGAGGCAACACCCTCATCTAGAAACGGGACGACGTCACCAGGCTGGGACACCGGCTTCCCTTCCTCTGCTGTGACGACGCCACAGCCCAAACACCGCTGGTGGATGGGACGGCTTTCTACCTTTATTGGGGGTAGGAAAGGCACCTGTCCCTGTCAAGAGACTGCCAGCAGGGCCTGGTGGGCGGATGGAGCCGCTAAGAGAAGGCAGAGGCCGTGGCAGGAGCGGCCTGGCATCACCGAGGCCTCTTGCAGCAGGCTCCACGTGCAGCTTCGTACCTCGACGCTGGCCCTAGGGACCCAGGCCTGCCCGCAGCCAGGAGTGCTCGGCAGTCTCCGTTGGGGTGCAGTGGAGGCGGGAGCAGTGGGGTCCCGGAGGAGAGCCGGCCCCACCCCAAACTCCTCACACAGCCGCCCAGAGCAACCTGGCCAGCTCACAGGGCAAACAGCGTGTCTTCTCCCTTCCCCTGGGCCTTCTTGCTGGGTGCCAGGCCTGAAGGGGGGCCGGGGGCCGAGGGGCTGGTGAAGCTGGGCAGCCGGTCTGCGGCTCTGGCCCGTTCTTCCAGGAACTTGTCGAACTCTGGGGGGAGAGAAGGCGGTGGGTGGGGGCCAAGGCTGGGAAGAGGGGGTGGGCAGGCAGGCTGGGTGAGTACCTTCGCTGGTGACGCCCCCTGTGGCCTCCTCTGGGTCGTTCCCCTAGGGTGCAGAAGGAAGGGTCACAGGTCAGGGCGACGGGCCTTGTGGGGCTGACACTACGCAAGGCTGACCCCAGCTGGCCCGACTTGGCCCCCTTTCTGAGCTCATGCCCCCTGGTATCCCCGAGCTCCGGATAGTCCTTCACCACGTGGAGGCTGAACCTCACTCAGCGGGGTACTGGGCACGGCCCCATGGAGGCAAGCTGACACCCAGACACACAGCTGTGACGCTACAGCGGGGGTGGGGAGAGCCCCCGTCTGACTCTGCCCTGCCCTCTTCCCTGAGGCAGGGTCTAGGGGCTGCCTGGCCCGCAGCCCCATCTCCAGAACCCCTCGCCAGAGAGGAGAGGGCCCCACGGGGCAGCGGCCTATATTCTGACCCATGGCTGGGATGGCCATGGCGTCTAAGTGGTGGGCAGCTGTGCCCAGGACAGTCCGGGTGGGGCCAGAGGTGGCTGGGAGCACTGCCGGTCTCCAGCCTGTCTTCACGGCAACTCACTCTCATGCAGACAAGGCGTGTGCCTGACTTACCACGTCCGTGGACAGCCACTGCTCAATGTCCTCCATGAGGCTGGCCTGGGTGGTAGGTATCTGGAGGAAGATGGGGTGAGGGGAGAGGTCAGTGGCCTTCCTCCTGCAGACGGTCCTGCGCTGCTGGGGTACAGACCTGACTCCATTCTGACTGTGGGGCTGGGCTGTGTGTGTGGGTGCACAGGTCAGGCAGAGACAGGATGGGGTCCTTGCAGCCTGGATAGGGCCTCTGGTCACCATGGAGCCAAGGTGCTCCAGACAAGGCTCAGAGTGTCTACTCCAGGCAGCAGGACGAGATAGCCTGGAAGGCCAGGTGGGTGAGGCTCCCCGTGGGGACGTGGCCTCTGCTAGGATGGCTGCCTCCCAGGCAGGCCTGGGTCTCCTTTCCTGTGGCTTGTGCACTGGTGCCTGACACATGCATGTGAGGGCAGAGCCAGCTGCGGAGGGCACCCACAGCCCTCTGGGAAGACAGGGGGTGGTCCTTCTCCACATGATGTACCAGGGCTGGGAAGGGCAGGGCCTACTCCCCAGCACAGATAAGCAGTGCCCCCCACAGCTGGGGGAGCAGGTGTGGCCTGGATCTGGCCCCCTGTGTGCACGTGTATGTGCAGGTGGAGTTCTGTACATGCACCTGTGTACGCAGGTGGAGCTGTACGAGTGTGCTCACATACAGCTGCCTGAGCTGCGCACCCCCATGCACAGCCCGTTTAGGTAGAGCTGTGTGCACCTTGCTGTGTGGTGGCGTGGGAGCCAGGAGAGCTGGCCCTGCCCTGCTCACACTGGAATGCTATGTGCCCTAGAAGTGCCCTGATCTTTGAGCTGCCCCAGCATGGCTCAGGAGGAGCCTTGGGTGCTCTGCTGAGTGCTGGATCCCAGGTCTGACTCAAGTGCTGCCTTCTTTTGGGGGCCCCGGGGGGAGTGGGGTGCTCTGCTTACTGCTCCAGTGCTTTGCTGCCGGGCGTCCAGGGCCCCAGCCAGCCCATCTGTTGCCTGGGGAGCTTCATATTTGACCCTGAAACACAGAGGCCACGTAGCCGTCAGGTGCTGCACCCGCACTGAGGTACAGAAGGGCGGGCTAGCTCTGGCCTCGGGGAACTGGGCCTGGCACACGATGGCAGGACAGACACTAGCAAAGGCTACGAGCACCTGGGGGGGCTTGGCCAGAACCAGGCACAAGACTGCCAATGGCTGTGACCAGACAGATCTGGGCAGGCAGAGGGATTCAGAGAGCACTCAGGATTCCCGCCCTTGTGCAGACGTCCTGGGGACCCTTGCTGCACCACTGCGAGCTAAAGATGTCACAACGGTGGCTCTGCTGGAGCTGCATCTGGGGAGGGACTCCTGTCCTTGGCCCTCCGCAGGGCTGTCTCCAGGGGAGGGCTGCAAGACAGGAGGTTGCAGCTGGCCTTAGATGCTGGTAGGAAGGGAAGGAGGTGTGTGCGGGTGGAGGCCCAGACTCAGGGCACCAGGAGGCCATCCAGGAGTGCAGGCCCTTAGGGCCGCACGGGGCTTGGGTATCTGCCTGCTCTTCAGTGGGACCTGCCCAGTGCTGGAAGAGCCCTGGTTCTTGCTCTGAATGGCCACAGAGAGGTGTGGAGAGGGAGGCCGGCGCATGCCTTCCTTGGGGTTCAACAGGCTGTCACTAGGGCTCCCTGAGGACACCGCATGTCCCCAGGCAGCCAGGCAGGAGCGGGGCTGTCACGCTCTCCCATGAACATGATAGCTGTCTCATCCCTGTCACTGACTCCCAGCACAGTGCATGGGCTGCTGACCCTGGCTGCTGGGCCACCTGCATGGTGAGGGCCGGCGGGGGAAGTGAGGCCAAAGGCCAACAGCACAGCCCCATCCCGAAGGTCTGTATGTTGAGTGTGCGTGCGGCCATCCGGCTGTCCCAGGTACATGTGGGAAAGGCTGGGGAATGTGGATCCAGCAAGACCCACTCAAAACCTTCGCTCCTTGACTCAGGACAACCTGCGTCTCGGGAATTGCTGTCTCACCCTACGTCGTCCCTGGGCCAGGCCATCTCCATGGCTGAGACCCTGGGCCATCTAGGCCACACTGTGCAAGTGCAGCCTGGATTCAGTCAGACCCACGGCGGAGTGGGCTGAGGTGGGAGCACTGCCTGACAGAAGGGGTGGCACAGTGTCAAGGGTAGGCAGACAGGCCAGTGGCCAACATGCCAATCTGCAGAGGAAGCCCTTCCCTCGCTGCCTCAGGAGGGCACCAGCTACCCTCCGGCCTCTGGCCCTTTGCTCCCTGTGGGGCAGGCACCTCTCCCTCCACTTTCTGACCCCCGTGGTGCCCAGTGCAGTGCTCCTATAGGACGGCAAGGACCACCCTCCCCCGCAGACTGCAGGCAGCCAGTGCTGCTGCATCTTCACAGGCCACCTCCTACCACACGTCCTGGAGGACCCATTAGCTTCCAGCTGTATAGCAGCCCCAGCAGTACCCTGAACTCCACAGCAACAGGGGTTTCTGGTCCCCAAGCCTTGGCCTGAGTGCAGACTGCTCAGGGGAGGAGGGCAGCTCACACCAGGCCCGGGGGCTGGCAGATCAGAGGCTGCATTTGGGTTTTCAGGTGTGGGCAGGGCAGCTCTCTCAGTGCACTGCCCCTGGCTCTAGGGCTTGGTGCGGGCTGGACAACATGGTGGGGACAAGGTCCCTGGAGATGCCATGTTTTGGAATTGGACGGTCCCTGGCTCCAACGTAAAGCTGCCAGATGCTAGCCACCTGCCTGGGGCTATGACCAGGCTCTTAGTCCTCATGCCCTGCTGCCTGCCTGGGGGGCGTGATCCGTCCTGACCACCGGGCTCCAGGGTCACATACGACTGGTGCAGAGGCCATGTGCCTTTCTTCCCCTTGGCCACACCCAGCCAGGCATGGGGACCTGACAGACTGCCCCGGGATCCGCACTCTGCCCACAGGGCACTAGGCAGGTTGGGTACTCACTCTTTCCGCTGGTCGGCCAGTGAGCTGCCCCGGGTAAGCGCAAACATGTCAAACTCGTCTTCCAGGCGTCCTGACGCCTCCAGGGACTGCAGCCCAGCCCGCACGCTGCTGGAGCCCACACCTACAGAGACAGAAAGGCCAGTGAGAGACTGCCTGCTGTCCCCATGTCCCCTGCTGGGCCCAGGGCTTGGTGTGGCAGGAGCTGCCTGAGGAGGGGGACAGACACCCTCCTGGGGCCGAGTCAGGGGAGTGGGAGCATGCTGTGAGGCATCTGCAGCAGACAGGTGTCAGCTGAGCAGCACAGCAATCTGATGAGACTTGTCAAGGAGTCAGATCAAGCTGGGTGTGGCAGTGCATGCCTGCAGTCCCTGTACTCTGGGAGGCTGAGGCAGGAGGATCACAAATTCAAACTGAGCCTGGGCAACGCAGCAACTTAGTGAAACCCTGTCTCAAAATAAATGGGCTGGGGGTGTCGCACAGCACAAGTTAGTACTGCCAAAGGGAGAACTGTGGTTGCAGGGACTCCCAGTTGGACCTGCGTAACGTCCTAGGGCTTGGGTAACCTTACGGCCAGTCCCAGTGAGACGGGCAGCTGCTAACACTGGTGGAGGGTGGCGGGCTGGGGAAAGGCCCAGGCGGTGGCACAGGGCTAAGCCCAGTCCTGGGTTAGCTGGCCAGGTCCTCCGCTGTGCAGGAGCTAAGGGACACAGCCGAAGTCCCTAGGTCAGGCCTGGCCGCCCGGCACACCCGGAGAATGCGGTCTCCAGGAATGTGCAGAGGACGGGGCTCTGGGGTCCATGGCTCACCGGCAACACCCACTTGCGCGAGGCTCGGCCCAGGCCCCAGGGGTGAGGTTTCCATTCTTACTCATTCCGGCCAGCTGGGACTCCAGGCTGTTGGTGGCCGTGGGGTCAGCACTCATGTTGATCAGGTCAGCTGCTGGGTCCGCCTCCCCGGGGGCCTGGGAAGGGTGGACGCTGTCACCCTTCTGCTTACAGCCTGCCGCTTCTCTCCCTCCACTTGGCGCCCAGCTGCACCTGAGAGGCAGGGCCTGGGGCACCCGCTGGTGGTTGTGCCGTCTCCCCCCAGGGGCCGTGCCACAGCAGTCAGGAGACATCCCTGCCCTGTGCCCCACAGCACAGCCAGGCAGAGCCACGTGCCTTTTACCTTGCTGGTCTGGCCTGTCCGGAACCGTTCAAACCTACAAGACAGAAGGCGCCTGTCAGGGGCAGACTGTGCCGAGCTTTCCAAACTGCACGTCTCGTGCACACAGGGCCCCACCGGGGGGGACCCCTGCACACCCGTGCACCCTCATCCTGTGATAGTGGCCCTCACTCCTAAGGCAGGAGGCGGTGCTGTGGGACCTGCGCAGCTGCCAGGCCAGCTCTGGCTCTGGGCAGGCGCTGAGGGCGCGTGTCCCTGGTGGCCTGCCTGGGGTGTGAGAGGGAGGCGTGGGGGGCGGGGCCCGTGGGCACAGGGACGGGCTCACCGCTCGTGGCGCAGGAACACGTTGTTCAGGTTATCGTTGACCACGAGTAGCTCCTCTGTCAGCTGCTCGTTGGAGATGCGGGGGATGAGCTCGAGGACCCGCTGCTGCATGGCGTGGCACGTCCGGTGCAGCTCCTATGGGACAGGAAATGACACTCAGCCGTCCTGGGCTCACTCTGACCCTAGGCTGGCTTGGGGTGGGGGCAGCCCTCAATGGACCTTCCATGGAATGGGCTTGGGATTCTACTACATGAACTTGAATTTCACCTCTATGCATTCTACACTCACATGAGTTTAGTAAATTAATTTTGAGAGAGGGTCTTGCTGTGTTGCTCAGACTGGCCAAACCCTAAATTATTTATTTATTTGTTTGTTTGTCTTTTTGAGATAGGGTCTTATTATGCAGTTCAGGCCGGCCTTGAGCTCAGTTTGTAGCCCAGGCTGGCCTCGAACTTGCAATGATCCTCCTGCCTCAGCCTCCCGAGTGCTGGGATTACAGGCGTGCACCACCATGCCCGGCCTTGGACAGGGTCTTGATATGTAGCCCAGGCTGGCTTCAAACTCACGGTGATCCTCTTGCCTCAGCCTCCAGAGTGTTGGGATTATAGGGGTGGGCACCAGGCCCAGCTCATGGAAGAATTTCTAAGTAAACTGTCCACTCTGAAATAATTTTAGATTTACAGAAAAGCTGCAAAGACAGCACTGAGTTCTTGTACCCTTCACCCAGCGGGGTGTCTCAAAACTAGGACGGCAGCATCGGCGCCATCTTATTCCCTGGACTAACCCACAGGGGTGCAGGGCGTGCGGGTCCTGTGCTGCTGTCCTCCTTCTGTTCTAAGGTCTGCCCTGCCTTGGTCACCGTGCTGCTGACTGACTGTGAGTCACTAAGTGGCACAAGTGAGCCTGCTTGGGAAGGAGAGTGCATACCGCGGCCTCGCGGGTCGACTTGAATGGCTGCTGCTTTCCTCAGGCACCTGCCACGAGGCCTGGCGCCCGCAGGGACCAAGAACAGCACCGCTGCAGCACCCACCTTGGCTCTCCAGGACCTGGGACTCGCTCTGCCAGGTGCTGGGTGACTCGCCACATCCGGCCTCCTTCCACATGACCACCCCCACAGGGCCTTGGGCCCGCATCCTCACCAGCACTGCAGTTACCACAGCAGCACTGGGAGACACTTCTAGGTCAAAACCCAGCTCTGCTGCCCACCCCCACATGGCCCAGGCCAGTCCTCAGTTTCCCCTAAAGCACAAGCATGTCCACAGAGACAGCGCACAGAGAGCCTGCAATGGTTGATACATTGTGCCAACTTGAGAAATTATGCATTTCAGCAGGGGGCCGGGGTCTCACTGCATAAACATGTGGAGATGGTGTGAGAGCTATACCCACCCTGGGGGTGGTCTGCTTACCATGTAAGGGAGAAAAAGCCTGGTCTACCCCTTTGCTCTTGTTCCTTTTGCTGTCTTTTGCCACCCTGAATTGTTGCCCTTTAACATGCCACTCTGCCTTAGAGCCAGCTGATTATGGACTGAAACCTCCACAAAATGTGAGCTAAATAAACCTTTCCTTCCTTAACTTTGGGAATGGGGTATTTTGCCTCAGCAATGACAGGACTGGACTCCAGCTGATGTGTGTTATGGCTCTGCAGAAAGTTTGTCTGCATTTTGCTTGTGTCCAGAGACATTGCCTCAGCAATGACAGAACAGTAACCAAGGCAGAATTTGGTACTGGGAGTGGGGCTGTTGTTTTCACTGTATCTGATTATATGGTTCAAGAACCTTTGGGAATGGCTTGTGGGAGCAGTTTGGAAAGGTTCAGAGATGTCGCCTGAAAGAGCAGAGCTGGAACGCCTTCAGCTGTTCTGTCTGGGAGACTCTGGTCAGAGCTCAGAAGACCAGAAGGCTTACAGAAATCCTGCTGGTAGAGACCCGGCTCAGGAGGTTCCTGCTGGGAAGAAGGACTGCGTTGGGTGCTGGACTCCAGCTGATGTGTGTTATGGCTCTGCAGAAAGTTTGTCTGCATTTTGCTTGTGTCCAGAGACTTTGCCTGAGACCAAGATTAAGGGCAGCGGACTAATTAATCCGGCAGAAGAAATTTCAAAACAGTCGAATGTTGAGGCTGTGGCATGACTATTGTTGTGGGCTTTTAGCCAGATTTATGTTGCAAATCAAGAGGAAAGAGCCCAGCTGGATGATTTAAACTGTTGTGAGTTTGGCCAGAAAGGAAGCTCCAGTAAAGCTGTGGACCGCAAAGATACAGCTGAAGAGATCTTAATTGCTGAGAAGGAACAGGAGAATAGAAAAGATGGCCTGAAGGCATCACAAGAAGCAACAAGTCTCCACCCTCTGCAACCTCAAAACTGCAAAAGTGAAAGACTTTGCTTTAAGGAGAAAACCTCAGAGCACCATGTTTCAGAACTGCAGCAGCGTAGAAAATTTGTTCCTCAGAATTGGATTCAGAGTGCTCAGTGATCCAGGCACTCAACCCCTATGGCCAAGAGAAAGGAAAGCCTGGTTACTGCTCCAGCTGGTAGCAGACCTTGGCATCACCCACATGGTGCTGCTTTTAGGTGCATGCAGAATGCAAGAGTTGTGTGGTTAAGAAGGCTTCCACCCCACTTTCAGAAGGGCAGTGTGCCCCTCAGAGGGCCATGTGTGAAGCTGTGACAGTGAAGCCGAAGATGCAATGGAGACCTCAGAAGTTTGGAGAAGGCAGGAACGTGGATCATGTAAGGAAAGCTGCAAGGAGGGAGCAGAGCAGGCCCAAGAGAAAAGCCATAGGAGCTACAACCTCCAGAAGTACCCCAGGGGTAGAACCACACAAGCCCTTTGGTGCTCACAGTTTGCCACAGATTGCCTCAGATGGTGCACACGGAAACTACCAGACTTAATATTTGCCCTGCTGGATTTTGGACTTACTTTGGTCCCAACCCTTTGTATTGCTCCGTTTGTAACTTTTGGAATGAAAATGTTTCTCTTGTGTCATTTAATGTTGGAAGTGTTTAACCTTTTTTTTCCATTTGTAGAGGGGCTCACAGCTAAGAGTTTGCCTTACATCTCAGAGGAGACCTGGGACTTGGACTTTTCAGCAATGCTGAAACTGTTAGGACTTTGGCAACTCTTGCAGATGGACTAAATGCCATTTGCATAATTGGATGTGCATGAGTCTTTGGGGGCCAAGAGCAAAATGTTATGGTTCTAATGCAATATAATACTGATAGACTTAATACTGGTTCTTCAGGATTGTTAAACCTGTGTTATAATGTTCAAGGTGTGACATGTTAAGAATAAGCATGTCTTCGTATTTGGAAAGCAACTGTTTTTTTTCATCTTTTTGAGACAGTGTCTCACTATGCAGTTCAGGCTGGCTTTAAACTCACTTATGTAGTCCAGGCTGGCCTCGAACTCACAACGGTCCTCTGGTGTCAGCCTCCCAAGTGCTGGGATTACAGGCGTGCACCACATTAGGCTTGGAAATTTCTTAAAAGAAATGTGTCTGGTTGCCAAGTTGACAAAGTGTGGATTGTATAGGTTGATATATTTATGTCAACTTGAGAAGTTTAGAAGTGTAACTAAGCGACTCAGCAGGGGGCCAGGGTCCTCACTTTGTAAACATCCTCATCCTGTGCAAGAGGAGGGAATGGAGATGGTGAGAGGGCTACACCTGCCCAGGGGCGGGGGGGTGGGGGGCGGGGGGGAGTAGCCTGTTTACAATATAAGGGAGGAAAAGGCTTGTTCCCAACCCCTCGCCCTTCTGCTCTTATTGCTTTTGCTGTCTTCTGCCACCTTGAACTATTGCCCCTCACCATGCCACCCTGCCTTGGAGCCAGCCGAGTATGGACTGAAACCTCCACAAACTGTGAGCTGAATAAACCCTTTCTTTCTTAATTTTGAGTGTCAGGTATTTTGTCTCAGCAGAGAGAGAAAAGTAACCAAGACAGAGCCCCTGCACAGGAGCCGTCAGTTCTGAGTCCCTGGACTGCTTGCCTGTCACCACCACAGGCCATGGCTGGGCTGGGGAAGCCACCACATGGCAGGGACCCCCACGGAGCCTTCTCAGGCCCCCCCCTTTCACATGCCTGCTTCTCCTGCTGACCACAAGGCTCCTAGGCAGAGACAGGGACATGGACAGGATATGGCGCCAGCTTGACACACTCGGCCATCTGTCTGTGGTCTCCAGGGGCTCCCAGGCCTTGAGCTCCCAGTCTTCCTGGTGCCCATGCAGACCAATCGCCATGGGCAGGCAGGTTCCCAACCATGGCCCTCTTTTGCTACACTGGCTCCTAGCTGGGTACAGGATGGTGGGGTACACATGACACACAAGAAGTGACAGCTCCCCCATTCTCTCTGTGCCTATCACCCCAGCCTTTCATGGATGACCCAGGAGCCAACTGCAGCAGGAACCAACTCAAAGTTTTACATGAAATACTGGCTTTGCCAGGTATCATGGTACATGCCCGTAATCTCAGCACTTGGGCGGCTGAGGCAGAAGGATTATTGAGGCCAGCCTGGGCTACATAAGCAAGTTCAAGGCCAGCCTGAACTGCACAGTGAGACCCTGCCTCAAAAAAATAAAACTGAGCCAGGCATGGTGGTGCACATCTGTAATCCCAGCACTCGGGAGGCTGAGGCAGGAGGACTGTTGTGAGTGCAAGGCCAGGCTGGGCTACAAAGTGAGCTCAAGGCCAACCTGAACTGCACAGCAAAACCCTGTCTCAAAAAGACAAAAACAACAACAACAACAAAAAAACCCAAAACCAGCCAAACAAAACCACCCTCACCCCCCAAAAAACCCCTTTGATTCTCGTATCCAATGTTGCTACTAGAACAACCTTGCAGATAAAGAAACTGAGGCACTGAACAACGGGAGGGCTGACCTGCGTTTGCAGCCTGCCAGTGGAGCCCAGAGAGCCAGGGAAGACCTGGGGAGGGCACCTGCTCACCTGCAGGAGCTCCAGGTCGGCAGGCTCCACCTGGGTGGGTGCCAGCTCAGTCAGCATCTCCGACATAACTCGGACATTCCCGCTCACCAGCTCCAGCTCACTTCGAAGCTTCCCGATCTGAAAGCAGGTGGAGAGGTGTGAGGCCATGGAGGGATGGAGCCCCGGCCATGGGAGCTCCCCGCCCCGCCAGCCCCTCACAGGTGCATGCCACGCACCCCTGCCATCTCCAGCCCTGCCAAACACCAAGGAGCTGTGCAGAAAACGAGCTCAGGGGAAGAGCTACAGGCATGGTTGGAAGGGCGTGGCCTCTCCTCTGGGGCTGAGTGCCACTAATGAGGCCCTGGGGGAGGCTATGGGCCTCCACTCAGGAGGGCTGGGGCGCTGTGCTCTCCTCCTAAGCCGGGAGGGCCGTGCCCTCTCCCCCAGGGCCTGGGGCTCTGTCTGGCTTCCAGTGTGCTTTACTGCCACAGGGTTGACCCAGGCTGAGTCCTCGGCCACCACGTCAGCGCAAGACTCAGAAGCAGCACTTGTTCCAAGGATCAAAGGGGCCCTGGGCCTGTGCCCACACTGCCAATGGTATGGCACAGCAACCTCAGACAGGAGGGATGTGCAGGTCCTCAGTATGTGTGGGACCTCATGGGTACAGGTCCCAAACACACTGGGTGGAGGAACCCTCCAACATCTTGGAGAGGTCATGGGTCCAGCAGCCAGAGGATGACCATTTGGGAGATGCTGGCATTCTGTGCTGTGTGACTGCACCACGTACAGCCCTGAGCGTGACTGGTTACGAGTACTTCGTACGTGTCAAGCACTTAAAACAGACTGCTACTTAACGGTTGTCAGGGTAGGTCTCATTACCCCAGTGCTCACAGGCAAACAGACGGGCACAGAGACCAGGAAGAAATCCACTCCTGCCCAGACACTTGTACCCACAGGGTGCTTGGTGATGTGGCTTCTTAATGGCCACCTTGCATGAGGGGTCAAGAAGCTCCTGACCACCAGCCTGACACCGTCAAGCCAGATGCTTAGCCACAGAGGGGCCTGGAGTTATGTCTTAGAGCACCTGACCGCCCTGCACATGTCAGGAGACAGAAGACTGCAGCTTGGGGCAGCATGCACTCCGTTTTCTTAGCAAGACGCTTCCAGCACGAGATGCCGTCAGTCTCAGGCAAACCGGGTGAAATCATAGCCAGGGAGGCAACGCTCTGTATCACCAACAGGCTTTATACTACCTTGTCCTTTTTTGTGGTGCTGGGCAGGAACGCAGGCCTCACCCACACTGGGCAAGCGCTCTACCACTGAGCTACACTTCCAGCCCTTTTCTGCCAAGTTGCCCAGGGTGGCCTTGAACTTGTGATCCTCTGCCTCAGCCTCCAGCCCCTGTACCTGGGATCACAGGTATGCACCACTTGCCCACCTGATTTTGTGACTTTTCAACACCTTTAATCATTTTGTCTAGTTAGCAAAACTTCTCTAGTAGTATCTGTAACTCTGGGAGGTGCCTCTGTAACCTGTTACTGTAGCAAATTACATACGTTTCCCTTCCAGAGGATGTGAGGTCAGGTGACACACACAAGCGCCCAGTGGGGACACCTGAGGGAAGGCCAGGCCTGTTCTCTCCTCTCCGGCTGGGTCTTCATCCCCAGCACACCCAGCAGCTACCTTCGAACTCACTGACAGGGGCCTGAGTCTGTGAAACCCACTGCAGCACCAGGCCTCGCCCGTAGCCCAACATGGCACCTGGAGCAACCAGACCCTGCTAGTGAGGACTTCTGCAGGCAGGGTAGCTTCAGCAGCTCATGGCCAAGGAGGGCAGTAGAAACGGAGACACAGGTAGCCAGAGTGCACAGGCCCTCAGCTGCAAAGCTTTCCCCTGAGGCTTCGTAGGAGGCGCCATGGTGCAATGCAAGGTCAGCTTTCACGTTTTGTTCAGTTATTCTAAAGCCGTTGTGACCAGAGCCTGGGCTCAGACCAGACCTCCGTGAGTGGGCACACATGGGTCAGGGGAACTGCCGCAGCCCTAGGGCTTTTGCAGGCACTGTGGGAGACAGCCGGGTTTAGGATGCGCCTGCCAGGAATTAGACTTGTACTCAGACCCTGGCTGTCTCTGGTGAGCTGTGTGCCTCCACTTTTCTGGGCCTCACCTCACAGGACAAATAACCTACCCGGAGGCCATGGGGCTCTCCCTGACCTGCCCTGGCCTGGCGTCCCTGTGGGCTTGTCCCTTTACCTGCTCAGGGGTTGGCGTGATGGGCGTGTCGCCGGGCAGCGTGGCAGGGGCAGGCACGGGAGCCAGGTACTGGCTCAGGTCTCCTTGCTGTCTGGCTTTGGAGCCCAGAGAGTTCTGTCCTGGTGGGGTCTCTGAAGTGAACACAGTCTGGGGGCAGGAGCCGGGTCAGTGGGGCCCACATGCCAGCACCCTGGGACCCCCATCCTGCCTGTCCCCACACCGGGACCGCTCACCCTCTGGGGTGTGTGGATAGGCGACAGCATGTCCAGGTCTGTCATGGGGAACTCCAGGCCCTTCCTCCGCAGGTCCTCGTAGACGGCCACCACGCCTGTCAGGTCAGGTGAGCTGCGGAACGCGTCAGCCCAGGACTGAGAGGGGACAAGGGACACGTCCAGTAACCACTGCGCACTTCTTCCAGGACACCTGCCCCCAGCACCGGACAGATGTCCTCCCCCAGCCAGCCAGCCAGCCGCCCCTCCGTGCACATCCAACACACCAAGCTCATGGCAACGGATTACCCTGCAGACTGTTCAGGCAGAGACCACTAGGGCCCAGAACGGGGATTTGCCAGGTGGATACAGTGGCGCCTGCCCTCCTTGCCCTGCCTGGGACGCACCTGGATGAGGCTCAGCACCTTGTCGTGCACGATGGTGGGTGGGTTGTTCTTGGGCAGGATGGTGCGCACCAGCACACCTTCCACGAAGTCCTGGCTGGCCACCAGCACGTGGAAGCGGTGCCCACAGTTCTTGACACAGGTTTCCAGGACCTGGGGCGCCAACACCGCAGCCCCGTCAGGGCTCCTCCCGCTCACTGAGGAGCGACAGGGAGCCATGCTGCCCACTGTACCTAGCATGGTGTCCCAGCAGAGCACTGCCTAGAGGGTGCCCTGGGGTGCAGAGCAGGGCCAGACCTCCCCAAGGCTGGCAACAGGTGCCCTGCAGGACCCACTGGATGCTGCTGCTGCTGCGAGGAGGCTGGGGCAGGTGCCCACCGCTAGCCTCACACTCACTTTCACGTGGCAGTGCCCACTTACCCCACGCCCGGTCTCTTAAGTTTTTGCCTCTGGGCCCTGCCCTTGTGTCTGTTCCCACACGGGGGCAGGGAGGACCTCTCTTGCCACCCTGTCCAGCAGCAGTGTAGGTGGACTTCCTGCTGGTGCAGGGGAGACAGACAGACAACGGGCACTCACCGTCAGAGCCAGCATCACCTCATGGAAGTTCTTGTTCCCTGTCATTCTCTTCTTCAAGGCTCGGAAGGCATCCTTGGGGCTGGCAAATGCAGGACAGGAAGGGTAGGCAAGGCCCAGAGGCACAAGGGCCCTCCTCTGCGGCACCAGAGGCCAGGGGCCTAGCTCAGGAGGCATGGGTGGCGGGGGCATGGGCTTGTGGTGGCCCATCTGCCTGCACTGTTGCCCTGCCAGGTAGTGAGCATGGGGTCCCAGTCTTCCTCTGACCTGTACTCGGAGAGCAGAAGCCAGGGTTGGTACCCCCCGCCCCAGCACTACTTCTGCAAGCCAAGGCAGGGAGTGCAGGCTGCAGGCATGGAGTTCTAGACACCTGCTCCTCTGCTGGCCTCCCACTGTGCTTCCCTTGAGCCTCACAACACACTGTGTGTGGGCACCACGCTGGAAGCCAGGGTGGCACGGGGTGGTGGGCGGGCGCCCACCTGGAACCCTCTCCATAAAGCTTCCTGGGTACTGTCTCTGAGGTGTCCTGCAGCGTGACACCAGCCTGAGCCTCCCTGCCTGCCCTGCCCTTGCTGGGGCTCCTGGGAGGACTGCGGCCCACACCACCTCTCTGCTCATCTTGGGTACCTGGTTGCTCTGAAGGAGCTAGGTCCAGTGCCCCAGTGCCCCATACCTCAGCAGGGCCCCACAGCACCAACGAGAAACCACAGCCACCCCATCTGCTTCGGTCCTCTTTGCCTCACTGCCCTGCCTGCTCCATCTGAGGACGCACGTCCCCATCACAGCTGGCCTCGGCTGGAGGCTGCTGGGCAGAGGCTGTGCTGGGTGGTAGCACCCAGGCTAGGGACCAGCTGTATGCCTGCTGTGACTGAGCTTTCTGACCCCGGGCCTCTTTCTACCTAGGGATAGGGCTAGCCTGGACCACAGTCCACATCTCCAGTGACATGTTCCTGCCTCTATGGGCTCGGGGATCCCAGGGCCCCCTCCCCTCAGCAGCCCTCACCCCTCCTCCGTCTCGTTGATGATGTCGCAGATCTCCATGTTGAGGGCCCAGTCCTCGCTCTGCAGGGAGCCATCGGTAGCTTTCTCTAGAAGAGGCCTTCAGTCAGCAAGGGAGGGGGCAGACTCACACCAGTGGTGGTGGGCAGAAAGACCCAGAGGTGGCAGGAGACAGCCTCTCTTTGGGCACCAGACACGGCCAGTTATACATGCAGGCTCCCATCTGTCACCTGATTCTCTTTTTTGGGGGGTACCGGGAATCAAACTTAGGACCTCGAGCTTGCCAGGCAGGTGCTGTGCCGCTGAGCTATGTCCCTGGCCCTGTCGCTGGATTCTTGCAGCAGCCACTGGAAGCAGAGTGGCTGCTGCTTCCAGAGAGGACTGGAAGTCCTCTGCGGTCTGACAGGGGACAGCTCAGGGCCCCCATATGGCGTCACTCGTGGAGAGATGAGCCCTTCTGCCCGCAAATCATTCCATGTTCACTTCTCCCACCCCAAACTCACTTCCCGGGAACCCCACGGTAACCAGCCCCTGTGGACACTCAGGGACATCCTTGGCCTGAGAGAAAAAGCTCCCTTCTTTGCTGCTTTCTAATATGGTTTCCACCCCCAGCGCTGTGATGGTTCAGAGGCCAGAACAGCCCTGCTCTGCGCAGAATGGGTGCCCAAGAAGTGCTGGGGTCTCTCTGAATCGGACGGCTTTAAGGTCCAAGTCTGAGGCACAGAGGACACTAGTGTGGTGCAGACCTGCTCATGCTGGGGCAGCCAGACCCAGGAGGGGCCGCCTGCTAGGGGCATGCTCATGGCTGGGTCCTGCTGGTCACCAGTCCAAGGGGTCCCTGGATGCTGGAGTGACGAGCACAAGGACCCTTGCCAACACCTGGAGCACGCGCATCACCTCCTGGCTTGCATGTCACCCTGCCTGATTTCCACAGCAGGCTCGGCCCAGGGCTTAGACAGCCCTTCCCTGCACCCTGTGGGCGACAGCCACGCACGAGGTCCCCCAGCCTCACACTCCTGGACTGCAGCTCCAGAGGCGAGGCGCTCACTCACCCTGCAAGGGAGGCTTTCGTCCCCACAGGGAGGCAGCCCCTGGGTGCCAGCCCAGGTCTGTCCAGGACCGGGGAGCCGGCCGAGGCAGGGTGCTGCTCTGTACCTCAGCGCCGGCTAGGTGTCTGGAACAAGCAGGGCAGTACCACAGCTCTCCCATGCCATCTGTGAGCCTTCACACACTCACAGCCACAGGCAGGGCTTGGGGCAGAACCTGGTCCTCCACCACTGGGCCAGCAGGCCCGGAGCTGTCCCAAGGGGCCCAGGTCTGATGCCTCAGGTGCCCCCAGTGTCTGTCACCTCTCTTAGATCTCCTGCCTGCCCCTGCTCACCCATTCTCCATGCTTCCCAGGGTAACGTCAGAGATCAGATGGCTGTGTCCCACTGTGCCCCACGACCTCAGCCCTTCCAGAGCACTGCAACCTCCCAAGTCAGGCACTATGTAATCTCCTGCACCATTAGTAAAACAGAGAGAACAAGATCGTACCCCTCCCCTACTGTTGGTCCACTGTTGGACCTCACTTAGCTGAAGAGGAAACCGAGGCATGGGGAGGCCAGCAGCCTGAAAAGATGAGAGGAGCCATGGCCTCTGCTGCTTTCGGTGCTGCTGTCCTAGTGCCCTTCCAGACCCAGACTCCGGCTGGAGCCCCTCGTGACACCACAGCAGCCTGAGAAGGAAGGCCCAGCACCTCTGCTCCAGGGTTGTGGACAGGACTGTGGTCACCGGGGGTAGGGGAGAAGCCATGCAGGCGGGGAGAGGAGGGGCATGAGTCAGGCTGGAGAGCTGCGTGTGCTAAGGCCAAGGCAGGACGGATGAGCCCATCCAACAGCTCAGGCACAGGCCACAGGAAGCCGAGTGGAGGGGACAGGTGTGGACCCCAGCCCCAGCGATCGAGCAGCTGTCATGGGCAGTCACCCTGCAGGCTGTGCTGAGAAGGGGAGTGCAAACTCTGAGTCCACAGGTTCCTGAGCCCAGCCTTCAGGAACCAGGGGCCAGGCCCCAGACCTGTCTTTGTGAGTGCTACTGCTGGCCTGGCACAGCCCTGTCCTGCCCAGAGGGCATGGGGGCATCTGCGTGGCAGGGGGATGAGGCCGAGGCCACCGCCAGGCCAGGCCCAGGGCATCGGCCTCTACGCTCGTTACCTGTCCTCATCTGGCGTCTGTCTCTGGGTCTGCAGTGAGTTCTCCACCTGGGCCTGCACAGCACGACAGGCAGGGACAGTGGGGTGTGGCTGACAACCCACGGACACCACAGCCACGGGGCACCCGTCCTGCCTGGTCACCCTGGGCCAGGGCCGGGAAACCAGGTGATGGTGCCCTCCCAGCCACTGTCCTCTGTGGAGCTGTGGGTGGCACTGTGGACTTGGGCCGTCACCTCCTCACTTATCTCCAGCACAGATGCAGCCAGCATGCTTCTCAGCGATAAACTGCACCGCCCTGCGCCCCCGCAGGGTCTCACTCCTTCCTGCACCCAGGCAGGACTGAGGCACTTCCCACCCGCAGCGACCTTCCTCACCCTCACAGAGGGAAGAGAAACCAAGGTGCAGTTTGTGAGCTGCAGAGAAACGATGAGAACCCAGGGAGGTGTGGTCCTGATCCACGGTGGGAACCACCTCATGGTGCCTCTCAGAGGGCCTGACACTCGCCCAGACCTGCAGGACACCACCGAGCCCTCCAAAGCCGCAGCCAAGCAGGTGCTGAGTCCATGGGCGGTGGTGCGGCTGACAGAGGAGGAAGTGAGTCGGCAGGGCCAACTCCCAGCACACTGTCATGCCTCCCCTGTGCGTGACAGAGAGGGCTGGGCCAACGCCTCAAGCTCCACCAACCTCCCTGTCCCCATCCTGCTTGGGCAGAGGGAGCAGAGAAGCCAGACCGGACAGGCCGTGTTCAACCTGAAGAACCTGTTTGCTGACTGACTACATGAAGGCTGAGGCCACACTGACAACAGAACATGCCTCACAGCATTTTTAAGTGCAGTGCTTTCCCCTCTGGCACCAGCTGCTGTATGGGAACCCTCATTTTCCTGCCATGTGACCATTCCTGTAATCTCTTCTTTTTTGGTTTTGTATTTTTTTGTTTTTGAGACAGCGTCTCAGTATTTGTTTTTATTTCTTATTTTTTGTTTTCTTGAGACAGGGTCACACTATGTAGTTCAGGATGGCTTTGAATTCACTATGTAACCCAGGCCGGCCTCAAACTCATGATGATCCTTCTGCCTCAGCCTCCCAAGTGCTGGGATTACAGGTGTGCGCCACCACGCCTGGCTTGTTGGTCTCATCTAGACTACACCTCCGCAAATCATCTAGAATGTTTTACCAAATATTAGGGCATGGCGGCCTAGCCAAGTTGACACATAATTAACCAGCACAGTGGTTCGTTCTACTGCACTTACCACAACGAGCTGAGTGTACCGGCTACCCCCTGGCTGCCCCTAAATTCTGTGCCAGGCCCCATGGTCTGGCTGGCCTCTCCCTACTTTGCCCACATCCTCTCCTCATCTTTGAGCAGCAGCCCATAGCACTTGCCAGGGCTCCATCTGCTTGCTGCCATGATCCCATGTCCCAAGTCCCTTGTCCAGGGTGGGGCTGGCACCTGAGGCCAGGTTCCTGGACAGAGGTGAAATTCTGCCCTGCTCAGCTGCAGAGAGCCAAGAACCACTGAAGTGTGCTCCCTGGGGTGGGGTGCAGGGCTCCTGACAGTCATAGAGGCATGTAGAAAGAGGTGTTCATTTTAATGCAGGACAGAAAAAACCACGACTTAGCTCATCTAAGCCAGGATTTCAAGGCTGTAATGACATGGAATGAGGTCAAATTAATATAGCTAAGCCACCTAAGAACAACAGACATCAAGGTGACCCACAGTGGACACAAACCTAAGCTTGGTGCCAAGTGACTGGTGTCTGGACAGTGGGGGTTTAGGTCCAGAATTCCTGGACAAACAGAGAATCAACTTGCCCTGAATCTCCCAGTTTCTCTCCAGATGAGGGCCCGAAGCTAATGAGAACACATAAGGGTTTTTGTTTTCCTCTGAGACCATAAGAGTGGAACTTTACTCTTACTTCCCTAAGCTCAGTGCGGGAACAAAACCTATTTACCATTCTACCCAGAGTGAGGCCACGGCCTTGGGTCACAGGTGCGCACCGGCTCCTGCTCACACTTGGAACCTGAGCTGTCTGTGAATCTGAAAGGCCAGCCCGCCTCGACGTCAGCCATAGAAACAACACAAACTCAGGGCTTGGGCCAGCACTTCAGCCTTGCCAGGAATGCTGACCACGGGGGAAATCTGCCTCCTACCTAGCAAGCCTGGCCAGGTGCTCCACAGGGGCAGACACAGAGCCCACGCAACAGGCCTCGTGCTAGACTCACTGCACAGGCAGGAAGCTGGACACAGGTCAAGTACCCTGCTCCAGGCCACAGAGCTGCTGAGGCCATTCATCTTCTGAAGCTTGCCTGGGCCTTGCCACCTGCACACAGCCACTGCAAAGCCCTGCTAGAGGCAGTCAGTCATTCTCAGGCCAGAGACCTGGGCTGTGCCTGGCTCCTGCACCATGGACCAGCACACTGACGCTTCACGCCTGCAGGCTTCCCAGGCACACTGCGGCCAGGGAAGCAATCTGGCTTGGAGCCAAGGCCAGTCACCCTCCAGCATCCCTGGCATGGGTGCTCTGGAGCCCACTTTAAGGAACACAGCCTTCCCCACTTCTGCCTCAGGCCAGCTGGTGTGACCCAAAGGTCAGCCACCTGTGAACCCATGAGACACAGAGTCTGTTTCTGTGATCTGAGAGCTACAGAAGGTCTTTACACTTTTAAGTGACAGGAACAAACGCCGAAGGATAACATGTCTCGTAGTGTGTGAAAAGGACATGACCTTCCAGGGGCAGCCTTATTATCGTGCATTGCGCCTATGAAGGCAGCGCTTACGCAATGACAACTGTGCCGGGTGGTTGTGACAGAGACCTCCGCAAACTCACTCCACGGCCCTTATGGGAAGAGCTGAGGACCCTGGTCTGGTTTGCTCTGGCAGCTATCAGGTCCTCGGCAGCCTCTAGTGACAGCAGCTCACTACCCAACAAGGCAGCCTGCTGCTTTGAGCGGCTCCAGGGCTGGCTATTTACACCATCTCTCCTATCCCTGAAGTCTCCCTGCCCCTTGGCCTGGCAATCAGTTTTCTTGCCTCTCCACAGCCTCGGCGTCTCAGCTTCTGTCTTCCTGCCTGCACCAACCCTGCCTGTACCCCTCCTTGGTAGGGGGTGAGTGAGGGATCCTGCGTCATGGGCGGAGATGGGTGATGGGCAGTGCACGGGGCACAGTCAGGAGCAGAACAAATGCCAGCCCAGCTCTCTGGGCCCCCAGCCTGCCATCCGCAGCACCCTGGCTGTTCACCTGGTTTCCAGTGGCCCCTCATTTCCTCACTTCCTTCCTGTAGCTCCCTGGTGAGGCCTCTGGGGACCCAAGGACAGCTCTCTCCACCGTCTCCTTTCCCAAGCTCTGAGCCTCTCTCCTCACCCAGTGTCCACGACCCCAGGCTGGTCCCCTGCTCCCCTAGACTTCCCACCTTCAGTCTGGGCTTGCAGTTTGATTCATAGCCAGCTGGGAGTCAGACTCCAAGTGCGAGGGGCAGGGGGGCGGAGAATAGAAATGGACGCTGGGGTTCTCTGACATCTGACATCTGTCTGTGAACACAGCCAGTGTGACGTGGATGCAGAAAGTCCTTGGAAAGGCTTGAAATCCTCGAAACATGGCTGTGTCAGCAGCACCTAGGACAGGAGCTCTGGGATCCTCTTGGCCTGAGATACTCTCTTGTGAGGGACCTGGATCTGGGGGTGGTGCAAACCTCGGGAGCATGTTCTGACCTGTGGGTAGATGACAAGGCCCACTGGGAGGCTGGAGGACAGTGCAGCCTGAGGACTGTGGTGAGAAGTGAGAGAAGACGGAGACGGAGTCTGGACTCTGACCCGGGCTGGCTGTGAAACCCTCGACTGTAGAGCTGCCCTCAGGCCAATTTCTGGTGAAATGGAAAACACAGGAAACCTCACAGGGTCACAAAGACTTATGCCCAGGACTCTAGCACCACGGTTGGCACAGGGGATTTGCCCACCAAAATGTTACTTTCTCCTTTCCTCTTTCCTGCTGGGTACTAATACTATGCTAGGTGCTGGGCAGCTAGGTGAGACAGTCCTGCTCTCAAGAAGTGCAGTCTAGCCCACCCATGGTAGGCTCTGTTGTCCCAGCGCTCAGGGAGGCTGAGGCAGGAGAACCCCAAGTTTAAGCCCAGCCTGGGTCACCTAGCAAAATACTGTCTCAGAATAAAAAGTTTAAAAAGTGCTGGGGATGTAGTGTAAAGACCCTTGGTTCAATCCCTAGTACTGAGAAAAGTAAAGAAGAGCGCAGTCTACGTGAGGGCAGAGAGGTGTACAAGTGCGAACAGGTCGCAGGGTATTGGTGCAAAGACGGCAGCCATGAGGTTTCCCGTCACCCTTGGGGACAAGCTGGCTTCATGCTAAGAGCTGCCCTCAATTGGGGAGCTCAGGCGTCAGGCCGGCCTCTAGGAGGAGGCAATGATGCCCATGCTCTGACATCAGAAGCAGCTCTGCAGGGCACACAGGAGCAGGCATTCCAGCAGTGTGACCCGAAGGATCGGCTGTGTACGAGGCTGGACGACAGCCTGCGGGTCAAGTGACTCTGTGGATCAGCGCCACAGAACCGATTCCTGCAGGCACACAGTCCTCTGAGGCTCTGCCCTCAACACAGGCTGGACTGTCTCACTCTTGCAGCAGAGAGGGGTCTGGCACAAAGACCCGAGCAGCTGGCCCGCAGTCACCAGCCACCACACAGTGGGGTGCTGTGCACAGGAGTTCCTGCTGCGGGGAGGCTGAGGCGGTGGACCGCCTGAGGCCAGGAGTTCCAGACCAGCCTGGGCATCACAGAGAAGCTGAGGCTTCATCTCAAAACACAAAACAGTCTCAAGCAATGAGCAGTCCTGGCCCTATGTGCCACAGAACTCAGCACCGTGTCAGTGAGTACAACAGGTCTTCACAAGGCCCTGCTGGAGAGCAGCTTCAGCTTTGGTTCAACTCTCAGCAGCCTTGGGTGGCTCGAGGCTGCCTGTGCGCGGCCCTGGGCCCCGGGGGAGGTGGGCCTCCCCCTCCTCCAGATGGATGGGCCAGGCCCAGCAAGCCCTCGGGGCTTGTTAGCAATTCTAGGGATCCGTGGGCTGTGGCGCTGCCATGGCACCTCAATGAGCCCCGCAGAGGCTGGGTGTGCAGCTCGGGGGTGGCGGGTCCCCAGGGCGCGCTCCTCCAAGCAGCAGTCCTTGGCCCGTCCCCTGAGGTATCGGATGCGGGGCATTCTCTTGGAAGTCTTCTTACTCATGAAAAGCAATCCACCAAGGTAAGAAGAAACGCAGTCCTTTTTTGGTACCGGGAATGGAACTCATGACCCACTGGCGGGGCCGGCCTGGGCCCCCGAGCTATACCCCGGCGAAACGCAGCTCTTTCCTAGCTGAGGCCCGGGGCCAGCTAAGCCGGTCCGGAAAGCCGCGGGCAGAGGCGGCTCACTCGAGGGCTGACCCGTTCACTTATTCCGAAGCAGGAAGCCTCAGTGAGGTCACCTTTTTCCAGCCCTGCCGTGCTCCGGGGTGCGCGGGGACAGGGGTTCGGGCCACACGTGCGTGTGCTCCGCGTCCCCTGCACGGTGACTCTCTGGGTGGATGTGTATGGGGGTTCAGCCTGACTCTGTGTGTCCCCCAGCTCCCCCGCCTCCCCAGCTGAAGGCCGACGACGGGCTCACGACAGCCACCGACACCTGGGGCAAGCGCGACGGACCGGTGGCAGCTCGGGCGAGCAGGAACGCCCCGGGGCCCCGATTCCCGGTGGGATGGAGTTCACAGCCCCGCCCGGTCTCTCCAAGCAGGCCGGTCTCTCAGCCTCGGCACATGCGACCTTCCTTCGAGCTCTCAGTGACCCCGGCGCGCGAGACCGGAGGGGTGCACCGCGGTCCCTTTAACCCCGCAAACTTTCTCCTTCCACTTGGGACCCCCCGCTGCGTGCGCATTGGCAGACCACCATACCCGGGCCCGCCCTCACCCACGCCGATTGGCTCCCTCAAGCATCCATCACCAGCAAAGGCTTCCTACGGGACCGCTCTCTTGCCCATCAAAAGTGGGCGGGCCGGAGAGACACCACCCTCAGCGTCCTCCTCGCCTCCTGAGGGGGCCGCTTCCCGGAGGCACCAGAGGCCGAGGCTGCGTGGGGCTCCAGAGACTCACCGATGCGCTGTCCCACCGGAGAGCTGAACGGGTTTCCCAGGAGAAAGTCCATGACCGCGGCTGGCGCTGCTACCAGCAGGGCAATCAGCTGACAGCAACCGCCGGCGCAGCCGATCCGTCACGTGACGCGCCGGCGGCCGGAGGCGGGGCCGAGCGCAGGGGCAAGCTCCGCCCAGATGCGTATGCGCGTGCGCCGAACCCGCTCCAGGGGCGTGGCTGAAGGGTTCGCGTCGGACGGGGTGGGTAGGGTCCCGGGGCCGGAAGTGGAGCTCAGCCCACTGGCTGCGCAGGGCTAGTGCTGGGCGCTGTTCCCTTGGGGAACCGCGGTGGGAGCGTTGTCACGCGTGGGCCGTCAGCATGCAAACCTGAGCCCCTGTCCTCTGCATGAGATCCAGGACTCGGGACCACTGTTTTCCAAGGTCAGTGGCCCCTTTGACCTAATTTGAAGAGAGCAGTAGGCCTTTGTGAAGAACAAAAGCCGATGAAATTTTGCTCCTAATCCGAGGGAGGCCCCGCCAGCCGAGGCTGAGACCCTGAAAGGCCCTTCCCAGCTGTGAGTGCAGCCTCTTCGGCCCCGGGGCAGCTGACCGATGCACACGCGAGCCACGCGCCGGATGACCGAGAAGCGCTAGTCGCCACTGGCGGAGCCGGGCCACCTCAGGGTGCTTTACCGTTTATTGATCGCACGTTGGGAATTTTACATCCTAAAGGGCACTTTTTGTGTAGTGGGAAAACCTAATGAGGACTAGATCAGTTTTGCGATTAGTGCTATGGGGTCCAGCATCTACAGTGTACTGCTTTGAGACCTCAATAATGCTTAGGAAAACCTGTGGACACCTGACCCTTCCCACCGGCCCGGGTGCTGCACGGGGCTGGGTTACTCCGTCTCTTTTGGTCGTCACTGTTGTCTAACACAGTGACTCGCATGTGGAAAGGGAAGCAGCGTGGTCCACCTTTCCGTAGAGGCTCCTGAACTGTAGGGATGTGCATTTAAGATGACCTTCACGTCAAGGTACATCCACGTCTTGCTTCATTTAAACATTGCGTGATGGTGTGTATAGTTAGCGCGAACTTTTGGATGTTTTCATTGATGTTTTTGAGACAGGGTCTCACTTTGTAGTTCAGACTGGCCTTGAACTATGTAGTCCAGGCTGGTGTGCAATGAGATTACAGGCATGCACCACCACCCCCCAGCCTCACTGATGACTTTCAATATCCCCATGTTCGGTGGTGATTTGCTAGTTTTTATAAGCTTTATTCTTCAGAAACAAATTATGTATAGCTACTCACAGGGAAGTGGAAGCGTGTTGATTTTATTTATTTTTTGAGGTAAGGTCTTGCTATGTAGTCCAGGGTGGCCTTGAACTGAGTGTGTAGCCCAGGCTGGTCTTAACTTGTGGTGATCCTCCTGCCGCAGCCTCCCGAGTGCTGGAATTGCAGGCATGCACTATCATGCCCAACTGGTTTTTTCTTTTGAGACAGGGTCTCACTATGTACATCTCACTGGCCTTACACTTATTTTTTATCCTCCTGCCTCAGCCTCTTGAGTGCTGTGATTACAGGTATGCACTGCCACTCCTGGCACATGTGTGTTAATTTTATTATAACAGTGATGTCTAAGTACTTCACACTAACCGATTGCGCCACTGGAGCTTCCAGATAGTGATGTAAATGGAAAACATTCTCAGTACAAAACTGTCCGGCCTGCTTGTGCACATCTGCAGTCCCAGTACTTTAGGAAACTGAGGCAGGAAGATCACAAGTTTGAGACCACCTTGGGCAATTTTGTGATGTTGTCTCAAAAAACGCCCTTAAAAACCAAACAACGAAAGAAAACGAATTAAAAAAGGGCTAGGGAGGCAACAGATGCAAAGACCCTGGGTTCAACCCCCAGTCTAAAGAAAAATAGTACAAAATGGATAGAAAGTGTTTTTAAAGTATGTGCTAATAAGGAATAAACTCATTCAGTAAGATATGTTTAATTTTAATTTTTCCTTTTAAATGTTTTAGTACTATTAATATGCTAAGGGTAACAAAGTCCCTTTTGCCATGCTGCATAAATGTAATCTATTCGCATTTAAACACTTTCAGAGAAAATCAAGCACCCCTCCTCCAAAGTTTAAAGATCACATATAAGGAGAGTGAGAGCCAGCTGATACTGAGCACACAGACTTCAGACAGTTCCTTGACCCTGCAGAAGCAGGGTGCTGGCGAGCTGGGTACTGAGTCTGAGGGTGGGCTGGGGTAGGATGCCAAGGCTCTGGGGTTTGCTGTCCCACTGCTCTTACTCTGGCCTTGCCATTCACTAGCTATAAAAGCTTAGGAAGAGTACAGTACTTTCCTGCATCTGCCTCCTCAGCTCTGAAAGGGGTGGTAAAAAGGCTTCTGAGGATTAAGTGATGTTAGTTATGCCAGTCGTCACGATGGGATATGGTGGTCTCTTTCTGCTGTCTTTACTTAAGAAGTTAGCCTTACAATCCATTATCTTTTTTTTTCTTTTTGAGATAGGGTCTGGCGGGCTTAGAATTCACTTTGTAGCCCAGGTTGGCCTTGAACTCTTGGCAATCCTGCCTCAGGCTCTGGAGTGCTGGGATTACAGGCATTACAGGTGTACGCCACCACTGACTTCATTCTTAAGACTCTTAACAATTCATGTCTGCATGGAATTTCCTCAAAAGGTCCGATTCCTGTGTACTCAGTGTTCACGGTGTTGTCACTGAATACTCAGGCCAGCTGGCTTCAGGACTGCAGATGGGGGGACAAGCCACAGGGTCACAGGTGGGACTGGAAGCTGAGGAGACCAGGTGCCTCACCCACCCTTATTGACAAGGCTGGACACAGAATGGGTGGATCCAGCGGAGCACCTGCTTCTGCTGTGACCTCACACTGACAGGGTAGGACAGCACCAGAATGTTCACAGTTGCATTTGCCAGTAAACAGCAAGAGCCATCAGGTGCGCTGGCCTTGCAATTTGCAAAAGATAATCAAGAGCATTTACAAAGTAAAAGTTAACAGATAGTAAGATGCATGTTAGAGAAATGGCTGAAGTTAGTAATTTCTCCTCTACTTCAAATTCTTTATTGTAGAGAAAATTATGGAGGGACAAAATGTGAAAAACATCTAAGTTTTATAATTTCATAGCAACTATGATTAGCATGATTAGGGAAAAGACAAGTGAGACTAAACTACAAATATTAAAAATGTGATTTTTAATAATATAAGTACAAAATTTTATTTCTTTATACAATCATAATGGGATTTGGGTCAAACCACTGGAATTTAAAAAACAAAATAAAACCATGATATAAAAACTGCAAGAGGGTCTGAATCCAAAGATTTTCCTCTATTAAGTACCAAATACCGTAAGATACAGATTATCATATAAATGTGTACAAATCTTAAATACAAATATAATAGGGCTGGGTTTCAAAGGAAAATATAAACACAAAAAAACCAGGTTCTTCCCAGGATTTCATTAACACGTCCTCAGTGGCTTGAGCCACTGGTGGTTCACACATGACTCCCATGGGGCAGCTCCTACCACCTCATGGGACTGTTCCTGCTGCCCGAGGGGACAGTCACGCCTGTGGCACTGGTGAGTCAGAGCCATCTGGCGGGGACACTCATGGGTCGTGGCTGTGAATGTGTCAGTGGATAAAGTGAACGAAGGTCTGATTTCCTGTGGCCCACACCGCCCAGCCACACCGCCCAAGAAGCTTCCTCGGTGTGGATAAGGGCTGGACAAGGTCTGGCACATGCAAGCTAACATCTGCTCTCCGTGATTTCAATTGCTAACATTCCTGTTTCCTTGATCAAATGGCAAAACTGCTCTGAGCTGTGTGAACTCAGTGCCAGCAGCCTTTGAGGAGCCTGGCCTGTGACAGCGCTGGCTGGGAGGGGGCCGCACAGCATGTGTGCCAGCTGCTCGGACCCAGAGCCCCACAGTGGCTCTGGCCACCCCAGCACGGCTTGGCAGGGAGTCACCAACTTAAACCAGCCACTGTCAAGCTCTTTCCACCTGGGACACAGGTCTGGTCTTTGGAAATAAGGGCAGTGGGGAATGGTAATTTTTTTTATTTCACTTGTTTGACATTATTGAAGGGTTTGAAGTTCTTAATAAAGAATTAGAACCACAATATAATGATTCTTTTTTGAGATATAATACCTTAAAGTATAGATGATTTGGAGTTTTCAGATCAGACCAGAGGAAGGAAGCAAGAAAAAAGGGAGAAGTGACCAATCTGTATCTTCCACATGCTGCTGCTGGTGGAGGCTTTTTGTTATTAAATTATATATACAGAAATTTACAGCATAAATTAAAATCTAAGAAATTTAGAGTTAAATACACATAATTAAAATACACATCACACACACATAAATAAATCTACATGAGAATCGAGTCATTCTGCAATTCACTCACATGTGGCACAGAGTGTGGTATCTGCCCACAGGGGAACTGATAAGATGAACCCAAGAGCTACATGGAGCAACTTTATCTTCCATAATCACCAAGACACTAAGCAGAATCTGGGGACTTGTGGCCCATCTAGCACTGCCAATGAAAGATGCCAGCTCTCGGGTTGGCAGACAATACTGTGGGCCAGCTGGGAACACGTGCAGCTCCAGCTGGGGCCTCAGCAGCTTTACCCTCTCAGGGAACTCTTGCTACCAGGAGTCACACAACTCGTGGCCTCTCCCAAGGCTGCCAATGGTACCAGTGATTGCAGCAGGTTTTGAGATGCGGACGCTGTGTAGGAGGGACTGCACTGATCCCTACTCAGTCTACCCAAGCTCTCCAACAGCTGTGGTGGACATGACACTGTCACCTCCCACAAGGTCACTTTTGGTCAGCTGGCATCTCTCATAATCCTTATTACATTTCAACTGTAAGACAGGTAAGGCAAATGGTCAGTGATGGGTCTGGAGGTACCACTGATTTGTAAAAAAAAAAACACTTCAGCTGTCTATAACAGGTACACTTGGCACCTAGAACAAGCCCCCAGTCCCAAGTGACACTGATTTTTAAGGCAGATTTATCCACCACATGAGAATGAAGAATCCCCGGCCCCTATTCCTGCCAGTTTCCTCTTGGCTACAGCTTTGCCATATCATAAAATCACTAAAGCAAAGTAGTTACAGTCCTATATATATATACTGTACATTATACATATATATAATATATATAGATATAAAAATTTAAAACCCACACCCAGAGGCCAGTGAAGGGATCTGCAACAGTGATATATACACAAACCAGCAAATGGCCGGGGAGGTCTCTGTCCCGGGGTCTTTGTCATCACAGTCCAGGCATGATGTAAGCAATGTTGTCCAGTGTGTTTGACTGCAAACAAGGAGAAGGGGTTCAGTGAGCTGCGTTTCCCATGGCTCTAGGAGACAGGTTTCTTTGCTCAGGGAGAGCCAAGGAGGGACAACTGGAGCTGGAGCAGCAGAGGGTGGAGGGGTAGGGTGAAAGTGCAGATAGCTCCGGTGGGCTGTTACGCTAGCAGTTACTCTGCTGACATCTCCTGTTAATCCTAGTATCAGTGAGGCAGAAAGTCCCCCAACTGTGTGTGTAGAAGTGCGAACAGGAAATGTGGAGGTACAGTTTTACTCCTCAGGGTTAGGGTCGCGAGAAGATGAATTGTGTGCTATTCTGGGGAGTGGCACATTTTCTGGTCTCACTCCAGGCACAGCACTCAATAGTGCAGCATCACATTCCACAGGCTAGGGAGGCCAGGGAGGCTCAGAAGCTACCACCTGACCACACCTATTCCCAAGGAGACTGGCCCCCTACATCCAAGGGAAATAGGAAAACTCACCAAGACCTGCTTGGGACAGCCGTTCAGCTCAGGCAGCTGTGTGGTCAGACATGCCAAGGGACCAAGAGCACAGATGATAGAATCCAGAAGCACAGACAAACTGCCAGACACAGCCACCATGCCCTGAAAGGAGAGGAGACTGTCACTCACTCCATATGCCTCTCATGCTCTCCCTTTCCTCGCTGACTTCCTCCTACAGCATCCATTATCCATCCATCCATCCATCCATCCATCCATCCATCCATCCATCCATCCATCCATTTACTGTCTTTTTGAAATAGGGTTTTACTATGTGGTTAGGCTAGCTCTTAACTCACTTTGCAGCCCAGGCTGGCCTCAAACTTGCAGCAGTCCTCCTGCCTGGGATTAGAGATTGTGCCACTACGCCTGGCCTCATGTGGCTTTTAAAAAATCCTGGGCCCTTCTGTCTGCAGAATGAAACTTACACAGGCATGGAGGAATCTATCTGATGACTCTGGAAGTTGCTTAAAGAGGAAACTTTTACAGTACATTTCCAGGTCTCTTCTCTGGACTCCCTAATCCGGTGTATCTTCTGTTTCCGGGGAAATCATTTAACAAGAAGAGTGAATGGAGCTGCACCTGCTCTGAAGAGCTGCTGGGAAGACCTGTGAGCTCACGTATGCAAAAGCACATCTCTTGTGAGGCCCAAGTGCCGCTCAAGTGCAATGACTAAACCCTACCACTTACATAAACATATACATACCTCTTGACATTGCTGTGATCACTATTCTATGCTGAAGCGTTCATTCTTGCAATAAATTCTACATCTCACATACTTTACATCATCTATACGTGTGCTTTATAGAGGTGAGAAGGAGCCCCTTGTGGCAAACCCACTGCTCAGAGCACTGTGAGGAACTGGATCTGACAGTCTGGGCTCTGTCCCTGGCCCGCTTGCTGACTGGCTGGCCTGAAATATTGAGTGTGAAGCACTGGGGCAGTGTGCACTGTGTGGGAAGTGATTGCTGCTACCTTCACCTACCAACTGTGCCTCTGGCTGTCTGGCTGCCTGCTGGGTATCTTCCTGGCTATCTTTCAATCTCATGCAAATCCAGCCCTCACTCCCGTTTATCTACCAAGGTCGCTGCCATCCTCCCAGCTGCCCAGGCCTGAGGCCTCGCCATCACCAACTCTTTCCCTCCCGCTCCTTGCCCTCTATTTTTTCGGGCCAGTGGTCCAGCGAGAGGGTAACAGCTTGCACCCTGTGGCCGCACTCCAAATTCAACTCTGGTCAACACTAAGGGCTGAGCTCCAAGTCTGTTTTTTCTTTTGTAAAGTGAGAACCAAAAATGCTGCCTGACCTAAAGCTGCCATGTGCATTGAACGAATTAATCTACCTGAGTGAGCATCCAGACATGTTAGCAGTAGCAGTGTCACTCATCACTTTTGCCCTACAATTAATTATACCTAGTATTTTATGCCTGACTCTCCAAATGGATCATAAGTCCCTCAAGGATAGGAACTATGCCCCACCTCTCATTTATGTCCTACCAGGAATGACAAGTGTCCCATAACAGATCCGGAGAGGCTCTGTGGAAGGGAGGTCCCACAGCAGCTCGAGTTCATGCATGTGCAATCAGGCACTCAGTAAGCATCCGCTAAATTAATCCATATCTTTGTTAGATCTAAACGATCACTCTAACGCTTCCCCAACTCTGGTCTCTTTTTACTCACAATCTAAAATAGAAGATCTTGGGGCTGGGGATTTAGCTCAGGGGCACAGCGCCTGCCTGGCAAGCGCAAGATCATGAGTTCGATTCCCAGTACTGGAAACCACCCCGCAACAAAAGATCTTCTCAGAAAGAGCCAAACAGCAGTTCTATCACAGTCTTCCCTACTCAAGAGTCCTGTAGTTCCCAAACAGCAGAGTATTACCACTGCAGAGTCCATGAAGAACCCCTGTAATCTGGTTTCTAGACTTTATTTTCCACCTTATGCTTATTGCTAAAATGAAGTCTATTGTTTCAACATTTTAGTAAAAATTTTCAAAGAAAACCTGTGGAAGCCCAACACGTAAGACAGCTAAAATGTATAGCACCTCAGTGTCTAGCCCTGCAGAAGACCGGGGCTGAGAACCAGTTTGGATGTCTCTCTAACATCCTGTGGGACGTGTTCCCGCTCACCTGTTTAGATGCAGCTTAAACACCGGCTCCCTTTCACAGCGCCTCTCCTAACTCTGTTCTCCACAGACTTCTACCTATTTGAGTAGCACAGGATGGCAGGAGGGGGCGGGAGGGAAGGGAGCAGGCTAGACACTCGCTCGAGTGCTTCACTGGAGCTGTATCTGTCTGTGACCTTCACTCAACTAACTCCCTAGGCCTCAGTTACCCAATCTCTAAGTTAGCAAATGGTATAGTTCCCTAAAGTGTGGTGTGCCATTCCATGTGGCAAACAGATGAATGCAACTTTGACAGTTACATGTCCCATTATGATGTACACTAGACAAGAATTAGAACATCACTCTTGCGATGGCAAGGACTGCTGCAAAAGGACTGATTTATTTAGTAGTCCTGGGATTTGAACCCAGGGACTTTGTACTAAGCTATATCTTCTGATCTTTAAAAATATTTCTTTGAGGCAAGGTTTTGCTAAGCTGCTAAACTGTCCAGGCTGAGCTTGAACTTATAATCTTTCTGCCTCAGGCTCCCAAAGCACTGGGATTACAGTGGTGTGTAATCCCAGCCAGACAGCTTTACTGAAATAAAATTATAACACAAATAGTCTAAGTGGTACATGTAAAGTACCGTGTGAAGGTATATGCCAGTAATTAAACTGAAATAAAATTATAACACAAATAGTCTAAGTGGTACATGTAAAGTACCGTGTGAAGGTATATGCCAGTAATTAAACTCTGGGAAAGAGCAGGCTCCAGAGTGAATGCGAAATGACAGCTAATGAGCCGGGGCTTCTTTAGGGGGTAATGAACGTATTTTGGAATTACGAAATAGTGAAGGCCCACTGTTCTAAAAATAAACGAAAATCCACTAAGTTCTGCACTTCAAAAGGGGGAGCTCTATGGTATGTGAATCATATCTCAGCAAGACTTAAATGAAGTGGATTAGAGAATATATAAAGTTTTCTCTTTTCTGATTATACTGTTATCCTTTACCTATGGTTTCCCTTTCTATATTTCAGTTACCCACAGTTCATCTTGGTCAAAAAATATTAAATGAAAAATTCTAGAAATAAACAACCCTAAGTTTTAAACAGCATGCTCTCTGAACAGCATGAGATCGCTTTGTCCAAGCCTGCCTGTCTGGCTGGGGACCCAGGTCCCTCTCTGTTCTGCGCACCTACGGGGTTAGTTACTCAGCCTGCTGTCATGGCGCCACTACACTCACACACAGTGGCTGAGGAGCGCCCTGAGGGTCTGAGGGAGCCCCCTAAAAGGAGGCTACTGTACTCGGTAGATGTAACTTTCCCATAGCAAAGCTTCAGTAGAACCAGCTTATTTTGATAATTATATATACACCTTCTGCCTTTCCAATTAGATTGTAAGCTTCCTGCTGATAGGCATACTATATATTCAGATTTTTACTCCCCAAGTTATTACAATAGTGCCTTGATATTCACCAAACATTTGCTAAACTAAATGGAAATATCTGCTGGACACATGCAGGACATTATTGTGGGATCCAGGCCCTTGGCTAGATTCCTTGCTCTATGGTTTGTGGACAGATTTCCTGTACTCTTTTGTGTACCATTCTTTGGGTGACTATTGTAAGTAGTCTTATAAAAAATAAAAAAAAATGGAAATATCTGGAATGTGGAAGGTACTTACAACAAAATATTTTATTTCTAATTTTTTAGGAAACATATGAACTGCATAGCAGACCCTGTCTCAAAAAGAC